TAATAATAATAAACGAAAGAAAAAGCCGCAAAAGAGACAAAAAACAAAAACGAAAAAAAGAAACATATTTTACGTAGTGTAAATTTTAAGGTACGAGCGCGTAAAATTATAATCGATCGTCAACAGCATATGAATAAAAAAAAAAAAAAAACCGAAAAATAAAATAGCAGTTAAAAATTTTCGCGAGTTATAAAATAATTTAGTTGGCGAAAAAAAAGGGTTAATAAATTTTTTACTAGAAAATTTTACAATTTAAATAAAGAGAGAAAGTATTGTTATTTTTATGGTAAATTACTTTTTTATCTGCAAAAAAAAAAAAAAAAAACTTAAAAAACTACCCCAAAAAAATATAAAAGTGCTTTGAAGTAAAAATTTATGTTATGTTTATTGTTTTATTGATTAAAATTTACTTTTTACCTATGAGGCCACATTGGAAAAAAAATTTGTAGACTATTATCAAATAAATATTTATTTCTATCAAATAATTTTTATTTGAGTCAATTAAATGGTATATTTGTTCCAAATACAGAAATTATTGAAAAATTATTTTTGATACAAGTAAATTTTTTTTTCAGTGCAAAACGTTTGCGAACGAGATGCATGAGATATATAGAAAAGGATATACGAATATATTTCTGTTCTTTTCTAACTCATGTTTCACTCTCCAAACAATCATACACTGAAAAAAAATTTATTTGATTCAAATACCGGTGTATTTGGTTATTATCAAATAAATATTTACTTGAATCAAATATTTCTTATTTGAAACAAATATATAATATTTGAATCAAATACCATTTATTTGATTCAAATAAGAAATATTTGATTCAAGTAAATATTTATTTGATAATAACCAAATACACCGGTATTTGGATCAAATAAATTTTTTTTTTTCAGTGTAAACATAACCTATAATTTTTTGACTTTTCAGTCCGCGAATCGACATTGTTTTTATATATATAACTGAAAAAAAGTCAATAAATATATCGCGGTTTTTGTAACGATTGATTTTGTTTGAACACACAGACATGATCAAAGGTGATCCAGGCATTAAAAACTTTAGACAACCAATCGGTGCTGCGTCCGCTGTTCCAAGTTTCCTCTTGGTTCAAGCTAATGAATTTTTCATTGAGATGCAAAGTGGCTCGTAAAGTATACAACACGTTCGTTATACACTCGTTGGTATAAGTATCAAAGAGCTCCCTTCGCCACGCAGTTTGTCCTTCCACACACACACACACACATATAGAAAACATTTATACAAGTCACAGGAAGGAATATTAAAGGTTTAACAAAATCGTGATTTTCTTCTTTTCTCAATTATGCCAAAAAATGCAATAATAATAATAAATAATCAAGCGCCGACAAGATGTTTGAAAAAAAAAAAATATATATATATATATCGTTAATATTCATATATGGCTCGCACATCAATATAATAATGTGGCTTTATAAGATATGAGAGACGAGCATATTATTTCTGTTGAAGTTTCAAATGACACTAATGAGAGATACCGCGAAATAAATAATTAAATGACAGATGCATTTATATAATTAATATAAAATTCTAATAAAATTGTTATATTATAGATTAATTACCCTATTTCACGTTGAAAAATCTATTATTTTTTTTTTTATTAAAAAAAAGGCGTTAATAATGTAATTTAAAATGTATTTTTTTATCAAACCAATAATGGAGAAAAATGACTTTTGTTATGGGAAAAAATATTTAAAAGTATTTTTGATTACCCTCTTGAACTGAATTAGTCAGATTTTACTATAATTAAACTGCACTATACATTATCATTAAAAGAACACGGAGAGAAATGAGTTTGCTATTATATGGATTTTTAGCTACAGTAGCTAATATTTAGCTGTTACAGCAAACTATTTTAGCTATAGTAGCTAATTTTTAGCTGTATTAGCTAACGAAAATTGCTGTCCATATAATAACAAATAGGGTTAGCTAAAATAACTAAATTTTAGCTAATATGGCTAACTTTTTTCTCCGTGAATTAGTAACCGTTTTGACTATAATCTTTTGTCATAAATGACTATAATTGTTAGAACTACTAATTCATTTATTATAAAGTTTATTGATTTGAATAGTAAATCATTACTAAATTAATTAGTATTTTTTATTTTCTTAAATTTTTATAGTCATTTTTGAATAAGAATTAGTCAAAACAGTTATTAATTCATTTAATAATCGAATTAGTTACTGCTTTGGCTAATTTTTAATAGGAAATTAGTAATTCATTTATTAAAATTTACTAATTTTAATAGTAGCCTTACTAAATTAATTAATGGTTTTTATTTTTAATTTTTAGTATAATTTTTAATCAGTTTTGATTAAGTAAAGTAAGTAACTATAAGTAAGTAGTTTTGATTATTAATTTAGTTAAAACGGTTACTAATTCATTTAATAATTATATTATTAGTAACAGTTTTAACTTATTTTTAGTCAAAAATGATTAATTAAAAATCTACTAATTAATTTATTAAAAATTACTAAAGGGGCCGTCCATAAACTATACGTTACCTATACTTTAGGGGGGAAGGGACAAAAAGTCTAAAAAAATGCATTTAACGCAATGGTAACGAGGGGGGAGGGGGTCTAAAAAGAATGAAAAATTGGTACGGCCCCTAATTTAAAAGCCTTACTAAAATAATTAGTAGTTTTTTTCATTTTCAGTCATTTTTTTACTATAAGAATTAGTCAAACGGTTTCCAAATTATTTAATTAACGAATCGGCTCAATTTAATTAGTCAAAAGTGACTAAATTGTTAGTAGAAAATTACTAATTTTTTTAGTAACGCTACAATTTTAATTAGTAAAATTTAATAAATAATTTAGTATTTTTCTACTATAAACTAGTAATTTGTGACTACTAAAAATTAGTCAAAACGGCAAAAAATTAATTATTTTATGTTTGTTTCAATCGTTGATCATATATGAACTTCACCGATTTAAATAATCCATAAATAATTATTAAATCCTTCGATTAAATCTAAATAACTTCAAATGATAAAAATCACAAAATATAGTTAAATTATTTTTTCTATTTGTTAATCTGCTTGACTCACAGCAATTTGATGTTCCCTTATATATCTTTAAGATACACATTTCAGGTTACCTCAAATATAACGCGATCAATCTTGGTTACCATGGAAGCATAAGACATAAGCGTACAGACAAATATATATATATATATATATATATATATATATATATATATATATATATGTGACCTCGTCATATACTCATTATCTTTTTTTTTATATCGCAAATATTATATACTTATATTTTGAAAGTAGTTTTCTTCAAGGGATGCTATTTCTAAAGAATATAAGTTTTCACGGTTTATGCACATTTTCTTTATAAAAAAAAAAAATAATGAGAAAAAGTTAGATGTATTTTGACACGACACGACCTACGACTCATTGCGGTCTTCGCGGTTGAAGCATGATCTCACAAAATGTCAAGGATTCTTGTGATTCGTTGTGAACGTTCAAGTATATGAGTTATATAGGTGTGGAGGAATGATAACTAAAAGAGCTGGTGAGACAGTAGCTTTTCTAAAATACAATGAGAATAAACTAAAAAAATAGTAGTATATTTTTTAACAAAAAAAAAATTTCTAAAATTGCATATGTTTCTAAAATTGAAGCTTTTTACGATATTCTCATTTTAAGAATATATTAAAGTTCTTTAGAAGCGAAAAACTCAAATTAAGAATTTTTTCATCAGGGGAAAAATTTAAATTCTGACTGAAAATCAGGGAAAAATAATATTTTTATGGCACTGATAATGTAAAATATATATGGAAGGTGTTTGCATTTATTTTTATCAGTGTACAATTTTTTAAATGCGTTAATTGTTTCGGAATATATATTTATATTTTTAGTCGAAAATAAGTTACTTATTTCTCATTGTATTTTAAAAGAACAGGAGTTTCAAGGTCTTTTATGATTTGAGACAATCTATTCTTTCTTTTGATATACTGCAATTCTAATTAGAAAAAGAAAACCGTTTAGATAGTCATTTAGAGCACAAGATTGTATAGAAATCATTTGCGTATTGTTTCACGCACGTAGTTGCATTTAAATGTTAAAAAATAATAGTTTATCTCAAATTTTAAAAATACTTTATAATTTTTTAGTTTTAAGAGATTGAATTTCTTATAGTTATATATTTACTAAAATAAGTTCTAATGGAGAGTGTGGAACACTTTCATAGATCCATTTCGCAAATTGACGCACGAGTAAAATCGAGGCTGACAATAATCGTTTGCTAGTTGTCAATTCTGACCGTGTTGCACACGATGTTTTTATCTAATTGCGCGATAAGACGTTAAAGCTCCTGTGTTGTTATTAACTATATATATAGTAATCATAACTGAACTGAATTATAAGCACTATTGACAGCTGCTCAAAGAAAGTTATGCGAAAAGTTTCTTTATAACAGCTGACAAAAGGTGTCTACTTTTCATTATGTAATAAACAATCGAGCTATCTAATTTTTTTAATATCGCATTTATCATTTGTCCTAAATATATTTCAATAGCGATTTCAAATTCAGACAGTATAGACAACAGATTCAAGTGCACCCAGAAAAAATATTTCTCTGATTTAAACCATAATTTCTTTATAGTCAAAGAAACATTTATTTGAATTACATAAATAAAAAATTTCTTTGAAACGAAGATAATTTATTTGAAACAAATTTTCTTTGTATCAAAGAAAATTTTATCAAAGAAATTGACTTCTTTGAATCAAAGAAATCTTTTTTCTGACAAAAAAATCTTTACCTGAAACAGCGATAAGTTTTTCTAGAACAGCGATATATTTTTCTAGAATAGTGAAAACTTTTGCTGTTTTAGTGATATCGCTAATCTAGGTGAAGATTTTTTTGCATGTATTTTAAAAAATGAAATATAGAAATTATAGAATATTTTATTTTTTATAATATATTAAAAAATAAATGAAGAATAAATTACCTGAAAAAATCGTTTCTACAGAATAATTTTCCCTCTCTGGAAAAGCATTTATCTTGAAGTGCACTCCCACAAACGCAACAACGAACACAGTCTGCGTGCCAAGCTCGATCCAGAACGTTAAGCAAAAATTTGTCCAAAATTGGTTTTTCGCATCCTGCACATGATAGGAGCATCGCCAAACCGCACCTCCCTAAAAAAAAATTTACATCAATTTTAGTTATTTAAGATATATTTTTTTTTCACCGAAAAAATAGATTTGCCTGAAACAGCGAATTTTCACTATTCAGCAAAAATTTTCATTGTTTCAGTTAAATCTTTATAAAGTTCTGATTGAACGAAATAATTTTTTTTTCAAATTACTACTGCAATGCATAATAATAATTTATTAATTTTTTTTATACAAAAACCAATAATTTATAATATATTTAAACTTTTTCGTTTTCAGAACATAAATCTTTCAGTAATCTAGTGAAACTTATATTATTTTTTTTTCGTAAGGAAAAAAAATGTTCTTCCATGACCATATGCAGTCATGAAGGTATACTGCTTTTTAAGGTATATTTTTTCATTTTATATTTTATCGAAACTATTTTTTGTGTGTGATAATTAATATTTGTACAAATAATATATATATATGCGTATATTGATTTGACGTTGCATTGAATTCAGGTCAACCCTCTGGGTCGATGCAAATAATCCTATTGTAGAATTTACTATATATTTTATAAATGATTGAAGAGTTTAAGCGCGCGCGGTATATGCGCGAGGCTTTGGCGACGAAAAGACAAATTAAATCTATATATCATCAGCTTGACGTGAATCACTAAAACATATGGAGTGTTGTTACATAATCAATGCGTTTTTCACCGGGTTTATAGATTTCTACTTATATATGCTTAAAGCAAAAATATGGTTGGCATAAAATATATATAGTCATTTTTCACACTCTCATATTTTAAAATATATCTTAAATGAATTTCTTTCATATATGCGGAGAAAACCCATTCGCAATATATATCACGCAAAAAAATCTTTACCTAGAACAGCGAGATATACAGGGTGTTCCAAAAGTATGGAAACTTGCAAAAATCTTGAAAAGTACGAATTTTCGTAAAAAATGTTCAAGACAAAAGTTGTTCCAAACAAAAAGATGTACATTTTTGAAACCAAAAAATTGGGCCCGGAGCCCAATGTTGGGCCCTACAATGAAAAAAGTGGTTTTCTTAAATGAGACCACCAATTTTCAGTATCAAATTCGTAATCCCCATGAAATTCTGCGTTCAGACATGTGGTATAAGTGCCCAAAATATTGGGCCCTATGTAAGATAATTGGCCCAAAATTTTTCTACAGATAAGTAAATTTTGAAAAATCAATCCTTAGGGGGTTTTTGGAGTCACAGGATTAGAAATTCGAAGATAATTTTCAAATTGGGCACAGAACCCAATGTGAGATTCCGCGGCCCAATGTGAGGCCCAATTAAAAAAATTTGTTTTCTTAAATAAAACCCTCTAATTTTCAATATCCATTTCGTAATCTTAGTCTCATCCTCACATTTTTACCCACCCTCCTCTCTTCATCAGATTCACAAACTTGATAAAAATGTTGGGTCCAATGTCTAGGATTGGGCAAAATATTTTTCACATTTGTACAACAAGCATAAACCCAAAATTTTAAAACGATTACGAAATGGATATTGAAAATTAGAGGGTTTTATTTAAGAAAACAAATTTTTTTAATTGGGCCTCACATTGGGCCGCGGAATCTCACATTGGGTTCTGTGCCCAATTTGAAAATTATCTTCGAATTTCTAATCCTGTGACTCCAAAAACCCCCTAAGGTTTGATTTTTCAAAATTTACTTATCTGTAGAAAAATTTTGGGCCAATTATCTTACATAGGGCCCAATATTTTGGGCACTTATACCACATGTCTGAACGCAGAATTTCATGGGGATTACGAATTTGATACTGAAAATTGGTGGTCTCATTTAAGAAAACCACTTTTTTCATTGTAGGGCCCAACGTTGGGCTCCGGGCCCAATTTTTTGGTTTCAAAAATGTACATCTTTTTGTTTGGAACAACTTTTGTCTTGAACATTTTTTACGAAAAGTCGTACTTTTCAAGATATTTGCAAGTTTCCATACTTTTGGAACACCCTGTATTTCTCTAGAATAGCGAAAACTTTCACTGTTTTATAGTAAAACATATTACTCTCTAAATCTGAATTAGTAAAAATGTTTACTAATTTGAATTAGTGACTCACTTTTTGCTTCTGAATTGGTAAAATTTTACTAATTGTTAGTAAAAGTTACTAATAATTAGTAAAATTTTACTAATTCAGAAGCAAAAAGTGAATTACTAATTCAAATTAGTAAACATTTTTACTAATTCAGATTTAGAGAGTAGGTGAAGAATTTTTTTGCGTGTAGTTTTTTCGCATAAAGTAATATTTAATATAAAAATTTACTGAAATAATTTATATTCGGATCTACACAAAACATTGTTTAATAAGATTGACAAAATATGAAAATTATTTATAATGTTTTGGCGCAGATTCGAAATAAATTATCTTACTTTTATATACGTATATGCACCACGGATGCGCAAACCTATTTAAAAATTTATAGTAAATATATACATTTATTTGTATATATTTATATATATAATCTACATAATTATGTGTAGTAAAATTAACTGCCCATTAAATAGATTTGAATATTTAAAATAGCCGCAAAATTTTTATAAGAAAAAACAAAAGATTTTGGACATCCTTTTAAAACGCGAACTTAAATAATAAATATATACATTAGATTAAATTTATTATTAGATATATAAATTTTAAATTAGAAAACTTGTTTACCTAATAAGCATATTTAAATAATTAATATCGTTAATAGATAGATGATATGTCTTAATATAATGTGTTCATACATGAATTAAATTATATATATTTTATAAATCAAATATAATCTTTAATAATTAAACTTATATATATATACCCTCTCAGAGATTATATCATTTTTCGCGTTGATATTAATATGCTAGTTGATTGATTATTGCATCTAATTATATCGTCACTAATTATTTACATTGTAACTAATAACTATACGATCTGATGATCATTTTGCTTGTATTTAGACGAGAGTAATTATCCGCTATAATAACTTGTCACACTGATTATCATAACGTGTGAACGTTTTGAATTCAGGAAACTGCAATGAAATTTGAATTTTGATTCGCGCGGTGTTCAAATTCGTGTTTTCATTCAGATCGGGAATTGAAATTTTAATTTTTAACTTAAAAAATTATTTCGGCTCTTATAAAAATTGAGGGGCTGATAGTAAAAATGGTTTAAAATAACATTGGGAGCAAAAGTGGGATAAGTGACTTGGGAGCAAAAACGGGTTAAAATGATTCGTGTAATTTATTGATAAATTCATTATATTATCGATTAAAAAATATTAATTATAATAAAATATGCATTTTTTCCTATTGTTAATATTTTTTAATCGATAATATAATGAATTTATCAATAAATTAAACGAATCATTTTAACCCGTTTTTGCTCCCAAGTCACTTATCCCACTTTTGCTCCCAATGTTATTTTAAATCATTTTTACTATCAGCCCCTCAATTCAAAAAAAAAAAATATTTTTTTTCTCTTTTGTTGCTTAAAGAATTTCTATGGTTGTCACATCTATATTTATGGGATATTTTACATATATATATATAATTATCCTAAATAAGATATGACAACCATAGAAAAGGATTTGGCATTGTGAAAACAGTGAAATAAAATGGTCCATATGGTACAAAATTCGGAAAATATCAATAAATTTGTACTGCCGTCCAAAGTAAAAAAAGCCGTAAACAACAATGTTTTTATTGTTAATTATATACTTTTTTTACTTTATACTATAGTTTATTTGTACCAAAAATTTCTGAATTTGAAATTTAAAATAAATATATACCTTTTAATTGACTAAAATAATTATTTATTATAAATAAATATTTAGTTGATAATAGTCAAGTAAACGATTATATTTGAATCAAATAAATAAATAAATTTTTTTAGTATGTATAAACTATACTGCTGCTATTTAGTTGTGATTTTTATTGGTTGGCATAACTATTTTATTAGTTAATTTAACTAATTAGTTTCTTGGAATAACTATTTAATTAGTTACCTTACACTGAAAAAAAAATTTATTTGATTCAAATACCGGTGTATTTGTTTATTATCAAATAAATATTTACTTGAATCAAATATTTCTTATTTGAATCAAATATTTCAGTATTTGAAGCAAATACCATTTATTTGATTCAAATATGAAATATTTGATTCAAGTAAATATTTATTTGATAATAACCAAATACACCGGTATTTGAATCAAATAAATTTTTTTTTCAGTGTAATAAATGGTTAAGCTGACTAATTAAATGGTAACATTAACTAATATAAATTAGCAAAAATACTCTTACTAACGAAATGGTAATCGCAACCAATCGCATATATACTTTCTCTGGATTGGTTTAATAATTTTTTTAACTTCAATATAAGATATATTTTTCAAAAACTTATTTTTGTTTCTTTGAAACTAACGCACTAAAAAATTTTATTTATCTTACGGCAACGATTTTATATGGATTTTGTTCTTAATCTTTTGTAGAGGATAAACTCAAACAGCATCCGAATATTAAGGATATCCTATAAGGACGTTCTAGAAAATTAAATTAATTAATTAAACTAAATTAAGAAATAAAAAAAAGGAATAAACACAGAAAATTAAAAGGCATTAAAATAAGAAGCGTTGCAGCTTATTTTAATGCCTTTTAATTTTCTGTGAATTTTAATAATTATCCGCAATTAAATATTTTAGTGAAGTTCGAAGCAGATAAATAAATTTTATAGCATTAAGCTTAAAAGAAAATAATTTTTAGTAAAACTTAAATTTAAAGAAACTATTAATTCATCTCAATAAATCGTCGTCGCATCATATCATCATCACCACCACAATAGGATTGCAATTGATGCGATATAAGATATTGTTGACAGATTTGGTATTTGCTTACCTATGTTGTGGGATTGGGTGACGGGCAGGGGTGCGCAACAAGACCCCCCGAGGGTTGCAACCCTTATTCGGGGGGTACCAGCTACTACCCCTCCAGGGGTCCCACCACCCCCACCCCCTCCAACGGCGCCACCGTAGCCCTCCACCTCCCCAGCCGCTGCTGCGGCCACCCCTATCCCTACTACTCCTTCAACAACGGGCCCAGAAACACAACCAGGCCCACCCTCCACAGGCCCGTATCGGCCAAAAGGTCCCGAGGGCCCCAGTGCACCCACTTTTACTGCCGTTTTAATCCCAGAAGCCGGTTATTGCACTATCCGTCGCACTTAATTAAATAATTTTTATCAACACTTTCAAAAGAAAAAACCTCGATTTCTTCTTATTTTTTCACAAAAAACTTCCTCCGTAGAAAAGAAAAAAGTCTTTTTTCATTAATGAAATAATTTTTTTTTAATATAAACTTCTGCTTAATAAAATAAATATCACTTCACAGCATTTCAATTCACTTATCCACATTGTTCCATATATAGAATTTTTTTCCAATTAGCACAAGACACATAAAAAACATTAAATATCCAAAATCGGGTTTTAAAGGACGGAGTTATTTAAAAACTGTAAAAACGATTGTGAGTATAAAGTTTGGATAAAAATTCATATTTAATCATGCTTCTTTCTTTTTTTACGAAAAATAGTGTTATTTAATTTATACTCTAAATACGTCCTTTATTTCGAAATTGGCAATTGATAAAAGAAACAAAAAAAATAAATAAACCTTATAGTTTTTGCCGAAAATATCGCGGAATTTAAAAAACTAAAATCTGACACTAGTACGAGCATGCTCGCAACGAGTCTGTCAGTCAACTAACTGGCACCTGCGAAAGGATACCGTGGACCCCACCAACATTTGAAAATCATAAGGCCACGTCCACTGATAGAGGAGACAGTCACTCCCACCGCTAAGCACCCCCGTACACTGAATTCTCATTGGATAAAATCTCAAAGAAGGGGCGTTACCAACCCCCGTTTTGAAAGCAGACATGGCCGCAGAATGGCTGCGAAAGTCGCTCAGGCGCTTCTGTTCCTTGCTTCTGTTGTCGTTGATGCTTCTGCTGCTGCTGTTGCGGCTGCCGATGCTGAAATGGTTTTCTCGCGACTCGGCCAACTGCCTATCGATCCCTCAGTCCTCCCCCGTGAAATGCCACAGGTTTCAAGGGATCTCTTGAGTTTAATCTGAGTGCCCATATATATATATATTTTCCTTCTTCTCACTCTCTCTCTCATCGTCAAACTTCTATATACTCTTTTGTTTACATTTTAGTTTCAACATCAACCGGAGGCACTTCACACGAAGAAGGTGTACATGTATGCTTTTTACCATATAGCTACTTGTCACCCGCAAGTTCCTCTAATGAAAGAAAATATAGAAGAAGAATTTTTCATCTTCTAAAAATTTTCGGGAATTGAGTATATTTTAAATGATTTCTGGGTTTGTAATATACGTATATGAAGGTATAATTTTGATTTGCACATGCGCATGTTGAGAGTTATGGCGTCAATTCGCAAACACCGCGAATCTTTTGTACTTCGCTCCTGTAGGGCAAATCCGCTGTGTATTTCAAAAGGTCAATATGTTATTTGACCGAATTTGGTAAATATGATGTTATCTTCTTTTTGCAATTTACTTGCGTGGTTATTGGCCAGGTGTATCGGAACTGCAATCTGATATAATAAGCCTATATGCAAGAAGCTGCGATCCAAAAACTAAAAAAATGAATAATAAAACTATAAAAAATAAGTGTAATGTTATAGTTCTTTACACCAGTATATAGTAGTTTGTTGTGCGGCTGCAAAAAATCCGCAAACTTAGCAAAATTTAGTTGTTTTAGCAAATATTAATTGCTTATAAATATTAGTTGCTTCAGAAAAAATCAGTTAGCAGCAGCTAATTTTTTTCTTTTCGCGAACAGCAGTTTCTATAGCAATTTTTACTCCAGAAATAGTAAAAATTATTCCGCTATAGTAAATATTACTATTTTTAGAGTAAAAATTGACAAATGCGCAGAAACTATGAGGTCAGTTCCGCGTTTTACTTTTAAGATATAGTAAAAAGTTATATACTTTATTCGTTTTTCCATTTTTAATAATGGTTGCGATATCCATAGAAATATGATATTTTAATACAAAAATGGATTAAAATAAAATGCATAACGCTTTTTAATCCATCGTTGAAAATTAAAATAATAATCGATTAAAATTGCGTAAACTTTCAAAAAATACACAGAAAATTAAAAGGCATTAAAATAAGCTGCAACGCTTCTTATTTTAATCCAATTTTACTTATTTGAATACCAAAATGGATTAAAATAAGTAAAATTGGATTAAAATAAGAAGCGTTGCAGCTTATTTTAATGCCTTTTAATTTTCTGTGTAGACTTTTTATTTATACTAAATTCAAAAACATGAATTTAATTCAAAAACGAATTTAATTCAAAGACGAATTTAATTTAAAAAAATATAGGTAGATTATTTTAATATTTTATGGTATATAAATTTAATCTGTTACGCGTTTTAATACCTTATAGTTTATAATTGCGGGTTATATAGTATATATATATGTAATTTAATCGGAAGAGGAAAGTTATCTTTTGGTAAAAACTCGATCTATAACAAATTCTGCAATTAATGCTTTTTTAGGAATATATATAGTATTGACGCATATTTTTTTAAAGATTAATAAATCTTGATATTAAATACCAAATTATTTACATCAATTTATAATTAATAAATACGGAATATCCGATTGTTTATGTAGAAAAAATTATTTGATTCAAATACAGTCGCGGTTACTTGACTATATATTATTAAATAAATATGTTTATACTAGAACCGCAAATAATTTTTATTTGTATTAAATAAATTATTGTATTTGAACCAATGTATATAATAATTTATGTATTTGAAAAAAAAATATATATAACATTTAATTGACTCAAATAATAATTTTATTTAATGCAAATAAATATTTATTTAATACAAATAATTATTTAATAATAAAAAATTTTTTTTTGATGGAATAATATTGCCGCTAACGTTTTGGCCATTGTGAGCCGTCATCAGGTGCATTTCATTTATTTATTCAACAAAAATTATAATTTTATTACTTTACACACTGCCAAAAAGGTTGTATTAATTTAAGACACTTTTTCCCGATTTTTAAGACATATTTTATCGGTGTCATAGATTTCGGCCAATGACGGCGAACGAATTTGATATATTTTCCTAACCAACTGATGAAACATAAGTTCAGACAATTTTAATATGTTTTCTGTTAATATGTTAACTAATGTTCTGTTTAATATGTTTTGTACTGCAAAAACGGGTCTCTTATTTTAAGACATAAAACGCACTTATAGGAAACGTCTTAAAATTACACAGTAAAAACAAAGTCTTAAACCGTTTACATCTTAAATTAAGCCCATATATTTTGCATAAGTCTGTCCTTTTTTAATTGGTCTGACTCCGTTTACACCTTAAATTCAGCCTCAAAAATAGGCTGAAATCAAGATTTCTTTTTTAGTGTGTATCTCGACTTGATCCATTGGTTAAGAAAATATTTAAGACATTCCATATATCATTGGTCGAAATCTAAGACAATGTAATAAAATGTCTTAAAAATCAGGATAAAAGTGTCTTAAAATAAGATATTATCGTTTTTGCAGTGAATTAAGTGTTTTGTGTCTTAAAATAAGACACCCGTAATGAAATTATTCTTTTTTTGTGCGGAAATGTTGTAAAAAATAAAAAAGAATAAAATAAAATTTTTTTTTTTTACTCATTTAAATTTAGGCTGGAATTTCTCACATCAATGACATATATAGTAAATTCCCTATTGAGTCCGTATAATTTCACAAAAATATACATCAATTACCTTTATAATGCGCATGTAAATGCTACTACCCCACTTTTACAATGATATTGCAAACAAACGAGATACAGTCAGAAAAGAATTATATAGGGGAGGCCGACGTAATGGTTTATATAGAGCATAGGGGGTGTAATAGGAACTAATAAGTTATAGAGGCGCTAAAATCGTTCAGGAAAAACTAGAACAACTTCGGTACGGTTGTCACGTAATCACTGTTGTCGTTTTTGCTCAAAGAATTCCAAAACTAAATCACTTTTGCGACTTTGAAAACTTTTGTTAAAAAAGTGCATTATTTTTTTAGAATCAAAAGAAAAGTACAACAGCTAAACTTTTCACGCGCTTCTATATGGTTCATGACTCAAATATTTTGTACTCTCTAATTCTGAATCAGTAAAAAATTAATTGCACAAAAAATTAAAAGGCATTAAAATAAGTTGCAACACTTATTATTTTAATCCAATTTTGCTTATTTTAATACCAAAATGGATTAAAATAAGAAGCGTTGCAGCTTATTTTAATGCCTTTTAATTTTATGTGTTGTCCTATATTTTAAGACATAAGACACTCAGGAGTCTTAAAATTGTCTCGACTTGTTTTGTTTTAGGAAAATATCTAAGATGTTCATCCGTCATTGGGCGAAAGCTATAAAATCAGATTTTCTTTTCTATATCTAATCCAAAATGTTTGCCTGTCGGATAATAAAGCCCAGGGCTCTTTTACCCCATAATAAGGGGTATTATTAACCACATCCGTAGCAAAATATTAATTTCTCGTAAAATACTTAATGAACTGAGCTAAAATTTTGTGCAAAAAATAAGAGCTTTACAATGTTGTTAATAATTTGCAAAAAAATAATAATTATAAAAAAAAAATTTGAATTGTTTGAAAAAAAAATTTTTAATTAAACTTTTGCATATATCGTATATATTTTACGAAAACTATTCTTATTTTTATGGAAACTTCTTAACTATATTGACCATTTATAGAAAATTTCATTCTCAACTTTACTAACCGCTGTCAATATAGAAATCACGATTCTTATTCTCTCGACAATACCGACTCGATGCAACTTTCTAATTCCGTTAGCGCAACGTTCCTATATTTTAGAGACAGCTACTTTACCTACGTTTTTTAAAAAAAAGTAGGTACCTTTACCAGATATTGCTAAATTCTTCGTGTATGAAAAAAAATCTACTAGATGTCCTAAGCGGTTCTATTTTTTTAAAAAATTATCTAATAAAAACATTTCCATGTGTAATAATTTTTTTTTTTAATATTCTTAACAAAACAACCTTTTTCATATAGAATCTCTATTTTTTTTATATGGTTCTATATACATAGGTAAGGTTCTATTTTAACTATAATAAACAATTGCAATCTTTAACTCGTAATTGTTTATAAATTTCATTAAATTCTAATTTGTACTATACTATTTAATTTAATATATCACACCTATTTATATATATATATATATATTTACATTTTAGTCCTTTTCTCTTTGAATTGATTCACCATAATGAGGATAATAACCTGTCCACTTGCGATAAGTGGAGTCCATCATATTTTCAACTGACAAATCTATTGGTCGAATAATTAATGGAATTGAGGCAAGACCAATTGCAGTTGATATCCAAGGACCCTTTAAATTTAATATATTTCTCATCTGAAGAAAACGAACTCCTGCACATATTCTATTTATTGTAAATCCGGGAATAATTATTGACGCCAATCCCTGCCATAATAAAGTATCCGTTGCCGATAGAAGTAAATTTTTATTTTTATCTAAAGTAGTGTCCATCTAGAAATAGATGTTAAAATTGTAACTAATTTTTTTTTTTTTTTTTCTAAATAAAGGAGAAAAATACCTTGTAAACTTTTGATGCTTTATGAAATGTATCGGCTATTACATATCCAGAAGCTACTAGATAAGAAAACCATACAACCTTTTTTGGTACTGTATTTCTAAATGCTTCACCCACTTCATTGGTGTAACCTAAAACAAAAAGAGGTATTTATTATAATTTTTTTCTAATTATAACAGTAAGCAAAAAAATTTAACTTAGAAAGTAAAATAGATTTCCAGTTCCTTCATTTATTTATTTACAGAAAATTAAAAGGCATTAAAATAAGTTGCAACGCTTATTATTTTAATCCAACTTTGCTTATTTTAATTCATTTTGGTATTAAAATAAGCAAAATTGGAAGCGTTGCAGCTTATTTTAATGCCTTTTAATTTTCTGTGTTAACCTAAAAAATATGTAGAACAAAATAATTTTAAAAAATTAATTAATTACCCAGATACCGTAAGGGTGTATCGCGATATAAATCCACTTCTCGTTCTTTATTATCCATTATAGGCCTGGTTTTTTTACAGCTTTATAAAATTTACATTATTTTTACTCGAAAAAATTATTTTTATCATAACACCTTTTTATCAATTTTCACGAATCCTTTTTCATTATTGAATCAATTTTCAATTAAACAAAATCAGGAATAATATTTAAGAAAAGTCAGAAAGAAAATTTATTGATGTCAACTATAACACCATGTGACAAAAATTTAATTGGAATAATTCCTATTAATTCCAGAAGATGGCGATAATTTTTTTATACTAGTGACCTCTGTACATACACAAGTACCATATGTATGTATAATATATGTACCCACTATCAATATTGCAGGTTATATTATGATTGTGATTAATGTTGTCCTTTTTTATTCTTTTATTAAATGGAAGGACAACACGATCAGGAATTTCTAAAAATTTTAAGTGAAGAAAAAAATATTTCAAATTTTTTAAATGCATTTTTTGGTTTTTTATTCAGATGGTATGGATATTTATTTAGAAAAATTTTTGTTTTTATAAAGAAAATATTTTATAAATTTTTTTTTTTTTCTAGCACTGATTTTTACGTCAAGTCAAATGTAAAAAATGAAATTGATTTTGAAAATTTATTGAATGAATATAATGAAAAATGGAAAATCAAATCAAAAACTTATTTTGATTTTAAGGAACCAGTGATATTTTCTAAAATTGAGAATACTATTTCTCAGTGTGTTGAAAAAATTGATGAGTGTAAAAATTTTAATAAACAATTTACAGAACAAACATCAGACAGTTATAATGGTGCTGTACGTGAAAATTATACATGGTCACAAACAATAAGTGATTTAAATGTTATTGTCAAAATTCCACAATATGTGAAATCAATTAATCAACTTAGAATTAGTGTAGCGTCTGAAATTATTAAAATTGACATTAAAAATGGTAAATTTGATTATAATGAAATTGAATGGATTACACTTTTAAGTGGACAATTTTATTTTAAAATTCGTAAAGACGAATCATATTGGAGCTTTGTTTCTGGACAACATATTATAGTGCGTAAATAAATTCAATTATTTCGTTTTTTTTAATAAATTTTTTAATTATTAATTTGATATAATTTACTAATTATATAGATTCATCTTGAAAAAACTGTAGAACGTTGGTGGGAGGCTTTAATTTTAGGAGAAGCAAAAATTGAATTAGCTAAAATTGATTGTACACGAAATTTAGATGAATTGGGAGACGCTGAACAAATGAAATTAGAGGAATTAATATGGAATCATCAGCAAAAATTGCTGAAGAATTCTCAGAAGAAATAGTATGTTATTTTTAATTTTTAAATATTTTATTTGTAATTTGCAACTTTGTTAATTTTTCTATATTTCAAGAGAGAAAATTTTTATGAAATGGAATCATCATTTTTGTAAACTTAAAACATTTTTTTAAAAATATATATTAACTGGAAAATATTTTTTCTAATAAATTTTTTATAAACGTTGAAATATTTAGAATTTCTGTAAATAATTTGAAACCAACTAAACAAATAAAAATGTTATTCTCAATTTGAATGAATGGCATAATATTTGAAATGGTATGTCTATAGAGGAGATGAGAAGAGAGGAGAGAAGAGGAGCAGGTACAACTGTTCTCATTCAGAGGAACCTAAAAGTCTAGTACAGTAGTAGTTTTTCTTTCATTATTTTCTTATTTTTACTATTATAAAATTATAAAATTTAGATCAAATTTTATTTATAATCGTAAGTTAAAATATATTACGAAAACTTACTTTTAGAAAGCAATACCTTATTATATTATATATTTAGAATTAAAAACAAAAGTTTTTCAATTTTTACCATTTTTCAACATAATTTTAAAATTAGAAAATTACTCAAGTGAATGAACACACCTGTTCTAAAATTCCTGAATGAAAGAGTTGAATGTTATTTGTAGATTTCTTTTTTTCTTCCGAAACCTGCCTTACCAACAAAAAGTTGTATTTTAAAAATATAATACACTTTTTGAAATATCTTCTAAAATTAAGAATCTGATATATTTAAAAGCAAATTACGATTCGTGAAGAAAAATTAATTTTCTATCCTTTAATAATGTTTCCATTATTTACATAACATTTTTTTATATAAAATGTATTATATTATATATTTTCCTAAGTGTATAATTTTTCCCTATACAAAATGCAGTCTTCTTCCACTATTATTATAATCTAATGAACCCGCATTTAACGACAAAATTACTGTTGTCAATAATTTCTCTTGTTCAACTTTCTCTCTTATTTCCAATAAAAAAAAAAATTAACCATTTTTTTAAAAATATTTTGTTATTCTACTTTTTTTTGAAATAATTATTATCTTTTTGTGTGCAATATATTTTCAAGTATAAAAAGTTTACGCAAAAAAAGTTATGATTATTTTTTGTAAACAAAAATATAAAACAAGAATATTGTACATATTATCACGAGCGATGTTCAATAATATGAATGTATATAGAAAACTCGAGCTTTGAAGCATATTTTGTGTTCAAGTTGAGCACCTTTTCAGGTGAAACACACAGGTAATATAACGTGCCTGAGGCTGTCTTTCCATCCCCACCTGATCTCTAACTTCACCGGTTCTTTCGACTCTTTGGTCAGGTTCTGCTTTTCTCCAAGGCACAGGAGTTGAGCCGTTAGTAGTGTTGTTACTGAGGGAATATTGGTGTAATGTGCTCCGTGTTTTGTAACTTGTGTCTTCATCGATTATTATATTTAATTAATTATTGTCCATCAATTGACGATAAAGAAAAAACTAATTAATTTTATTATCTTTAAAATAAAGTTTATAATAATTTATTACAAATGAAATCAAAAAAAGTGCGGTGAAAGTTTAACGTGAATGTGAGTGTATGTGTGTGGTGTAGTTATATTTAAAAAAAAAAAAACGAAAAAACGAAAAATCGTGCTAAAAAAAATTCTTTTTTGTTAATATATAGTTAATTGTTGTTTTGATTTTGTGCCAAGTTGAAAATTATTAAAAGATGCCTTGCTCTGCTGTAACGCTCTCTTTGGCTACCATAACTGGTATTATTGCTACAGCTCTTCTGGCAATTGCCTTCTCTACGGATAACTGGCTATATACGGAGGTCAAACGGGCCCAAATTCAGGTAATTTTACAATAGAAATATCGCTATTTTAAGTTTAGTTAACTAAAGATTTTTATCTTTCTCTGGATTAGAGAATCCGTTTCTATATTCTAATAATAGTATAAGAAAGTACAATAGGCTAAAAATTATTCTATAAATTTGTCTTAACATTTAACGAAATGTCAGTTGAAATAAATTTTTCCTGATAACTGCTTTGGTAATTTCTACCATATTGCATTTACTGCCATACCGTTGGGTTTTTTCAGCCATACGGATGTTGCTTTATCAACAAAAACAGATTAAGGGTATGTCAAAGCTTATACTTTTTATATAAAAGCTACAACATTCCCTTAAGAAGAAAAGTAGACTCCTAGCTCAAACGAAATGAACAAAGAACAAAAATTTAGCTATAACCTTTATAATTCATTGACAAACAGAATAGCTTGGAAAGTATTTATTTGATTTCCCTCAAAATGCAAGATAACGTAATGTTTTCCAAAATTATTGCCAACAAGAGTAGTAATACTAATATGGGTTATTTAAATTTTTTCCAAGCAGAATAAAATATAATAATTAAAAATCAGTTAACTTTTCTACAAATTGGAAATACCGCATTTGACGCGCCACTGTTTGCCACCTGCGATGAGGGGGCATATTAAGATATAAGAATGAGATAAGTTAATCTTTCTCTCCTTTTCTAAACACAACTCCTTGTTTTATGATCTATATACTTTTCGGCTGTACAGCAGCACTCATTAAATTTCACGGGGCCATTTTTACGTTGTATTATTTCTTAGAGATCATATTTGTTAGACAATACAGATAGGTCAAAATTTTATTGCCACCTATGTGTTAATGTTTTCATTAGCAAATAAGAAAATAAACAATACAAAAAGAAAATAAAGATAAAATAAACACTAAAAATAGGAAAATAACTAAAAAAATAGCTATTAATAATTGTATTTTCCAAATACGGATTTTTTTTCACATATTTTTTTAACGATTTTGAAAAGACGATACCAAAAAAATATATTATTCTCTAATAAAAAAAGCAATGCTATTTAACAAATTAATGTTTTTAAGAGACACAATAAAATTTTCATTAAATCTTCTTTCTGGTACATACGATCGGCATTCCATCGTTCCTTGACATACCAATCTGCGCCGCACCCATTTTCTAGCACGTTGACTGCTATAGGTCTATACATTGATTCTTTTTAATTCAATCACAAGATTCAAACATAATTATATATTAGAAATTGCCCTATCAGGGCCCTAGTAGGGAAATGAAACGCTGATCAGGGCCAAATAAGGACGAACAGAAAATGTGTATTTCCTATAATCAGGGCCACATCAGGCGCGCGGCGTTTCATTCCCTAATAGGGCGGCCTGATCCGCCCCCCGATGTGGGCCCTGGCAAAATTTCTACTAAATAATAAAATGAAAAAAAAAATCGAAAAAATATTTTTGAAATAAATAATGAAAAGTCGAGAAATGTTCTAAAACTTCTACTTTCATTATATGGTGCAGTGTCCTACTGTTTTAGAACGTATTAACTTTTCGGCTCCTACAAGGTCGTTAAGATATTATTCACCTAGTTTTAGTCTATCTCTCCATAGAATTATGATCACTAATCTATTTTTAATAGACCCAAGGAAAAACCAAATTCTGTATTTCCTACCTTTAAAACTGATTTTGATAATTATATTTTAAATTAAACATTATTAATATTAATTCATATTATTAATATTATTAATAATAATTCGTATTATTTAACATTTGCTTTTTTATTCAACATATTATTTAACAATTTTTTTTTTAAATTAACGTTTCAAAATATATTATGCCATTCACATATTTAACACCAATTATGTTTTGAATGGAAAAATAAATTTTTTTCTCACATTGTTTTTTTCTTTTTATTTTCTTTTTTTTTTTTTTTAATTTCTGTGGGACGTGACATGGTCACAGAGTGAGAAAATTGCAGCACATTTGAGAAAGGAATAACAAGAGAAGGTTGACAACAATGAGTTGAAAGAAAAAAAAAACGAAGAAAGCAAAAGCCTTAAATGGTTGTATATTAAGATATAAAAATCTTAATCAAGAATAGATATATATGCGAAAGGGTTTGTTTTCCTTTCTATGTCAAAGAAATTGCCTACTGTCGAGTGATAGTACTGCGATCACAATATATAATGTGGCGAAACGACAATTGTGAAAGCAGTGCCAAATGACTCTCATGCATGTTCCTGAAACTCTCTTTTTAAAATACAATACAACGTATACATACATTAACTATGATGATGATGTGAAAAAAAAACCTAATACAATGTTGGAAGCAGCATACCAAAGAATGAATAACTATTAAATATCCTATAACCATTTAGAATATATTTTGAATAAAATATATATATGTTTATACTAATAGTGATAAATGTTATGCCTATATATAGGTAAAAATTTATCTATATATCTTTTGTTCATTGTTAAATTCTGTTTGCAGCAATATGTTCACAAACATCCAGAGCAAAGTAATGTGATTGGACCTATGAATAAGTATTATTACTATACGAGAACTCAGGGTCTCTTCAGGATATGCTTTCCCAAAGATCGACCACCCACGGGTAAGTTGAACTTCAAAAAAATTTAAAAAAATTTTTTAATAAATTTATTACAAAAAAAATATGATTAAATAAATCCACAGAAAATTAAAAGGCATTAAAATAAGCTGCAACGCTTATTATTTTAATTCAATTTTGTTTATTTTAATACCACAATGGATTAAAATAAGCAAAATTGGATTAAAATAAGAAGCGTTGCAGCTTATTTTAATGCCTTTTAATTTTCTGTGTCATCATGCTCTTTTTGAATCATTTTTCTTATATGAAAACAATTTTATTTGAACCAATATATTTTCTTTGTATTAATTCAATTTTTTGATTATTTCAAATAAAATTTGTTTGATTCAAGTAAATATTTATTTAATCCAAAGAAAACGTTTGGTTCCAAACAAATAAAATTTATTTGATTCAAATAAATATTAATTTAATCCAAACAAAAATTTTGGTTCCAAACAAACAAAATTTGTTATTTAAGTAAATATTTACTTAAATCAAACAAACGTTTGGTTCCAAACAAACAAAATTTATTTGATTTAAGTAAATATTTATTTAATCCAAACAAAAATTTTGGTTCCAAACAAACAAAAATTTGTTATTTAAGTAAATATTTACTTAAATCAAACAAACGTTTGGTTCCAAACAAACAAAATTTATTTGATTTAAGTAAATATTTATTTAATCCAAACAAAAATTTTGGTTCCAAACAAACAAAAATTTGTTATTTAAGTAAATATTTACTTAAATCAAACAAACGTTTGGTTCCAAACAAACAAAATTTATTTGATTTAAGTAAATATTTATTTAATCCAAATAAACGTTTGGTATATTTAACAGGGTTGCCGCGGATCAAGGGAATTTTAAGGAAAATTATTGGAAAAATATCAAATTTCCAAAAATGCTACTAAAATTATAATTTTTGAAATTTTCAATTCTAAAAATTATTTAATATTTTATAATTGCAATTGTCTTGAAATATTTTCATTAAGGACAGGAATAAAATTTAAATTCAGACTGAAAAATACAATTTTTCTGCCAATCTGATTTTAATAAAAATTTCGAATTTATTTGAACTAAATAAATTTGTAGTTGATTCAACCAAAATTTGGTTGTTTCGAAACAAATTTTGTTTTTCTGAAAGAAATTGCATTCATAAACGAAAAATGATTCAAGAATAACGTTCCAGGGTCATACGAAGAATTTAATATGTTGAAAACAGTTTCCGCTAATGGCACTATAACTAATAAGAGGGGGGAACAGTTCCTTTAGCATCAGGTGACTGAGAGTCACGCACGACACGTCTCTTTTTTCTGACATTCCCTGCCGCGACACCGAAAAAAAAATTATAAAGACGTCACAAAATCGAAAATCCCTCATTGTTTATTTTTTTTAAATAAATTAAAAATAAATTAATTTGGAATTTTTTTTATTTATATTATTCGACAACATGTCGAAGTAGTGATATTTTCTCCATATATGTAAAAATTACACTGAAAAAAAAATTTATTTGATTCAAATACTCGATTACTTGACTATTATCAAATAAATATTTATTTGTATCAAATAATTATTATTTGAGTCAATTAAATGGTATTTGTTTCAAGTACAGAAATTATTGGTTCAAAAACAATTTATTTAATTCAAATAAATATTTATTTGATAATACTCAAGTAATCGAGTATTTGAATCAAATAAATTTTTTTTTCAGTGTATCATTGGACCTTATATAATATCTTTAATTTTTAATCAAGTTTTGAATTTAGTAACTGAATAAAAATTTTCAGTCGTATTTTACTGGAAATCAGTCGAATTATGTATAAACATAAATCTGCACTATCATTTATAGGTAAAACAGATTTAAAATGTTTTAATTGGTAAAATTTTTTACTAATTTTTAAATAAATTTACTAATTTTCAATAAAATCTACTAATTTTCAGTTAAATATGACTTAATTATGGAAATCTTACTGAAATTGCTAAATTCCTACAAATTAGTGAAATGATTCAAAAGAGAGTCGAATTTAAAGCCAATAATCAACTTTCATAGAAACATCCTAAAATATTCCATAGAGGTTCGTTAACAATGTTCTTTTTTTTCGACTAAAAATTTAAAATAAACACAAAGCTATAAATTTTCATGGTAAACGGCAAATAAATATAAAATTAAAATGAAAGAAGTAAGTGAAATTTTATGAAGGAATAAAATACAGTTTCTTATGAGAAAATGTACTTTTACTCGGATTCTAAGAGAAAGAGAAGAGGGGGGGGGGGGTTTCAGATGAGGATAGAAAGAGTAAAGGAAGGTATAATAAGAAATTTCCAAGCGGAGAAAAAGGAAAGGATTATAAAGACGAGTCAGATGAAATAGAGGTCGAATTCCACTATATCAGTGGAAATTGATTTTTTGTTTTCTCCAATTCTACCGTAAAAAAAACAGGTGTTAAGAATACAAAAGTTGATTCGCACTTTTAGAATTAAAAGAATTTTGCTATAAAAAAAAAAGTTTTCTAATCAATTTTTTTTGTTAATTATTTTTAATAACATTTATAAATATAATAATAAAATTACATATATATATGTGTGTGCAATGACACATATGTATAAATTATGTACCGTTCTTTGACCAAGAGTTCCTAATCGGTTTTGAAGCTCATTGCGCATTTCCGGTGAGACATCTATATGGTCATCGATAATTTATAATAATTTCACAATAAAACCAATTCTTACATCCGTAAATGATTATAGTTGATAGAAATATACGAAAATCTATATACTTTTTTTAATCGAGTATTTTTTTTTTTTTTTTTTTTTTTAGTGTAATATTTATAATATGTGCTATATGCGTATAGAAAATTTTATGAAAAACTTTAAGTCAATAAAAGAACACAGTTACGATTACCTCGTTCAGACTAAGAAAGAGCATTATGAGTACAGTTATATTCCCGAGTCAACGATCTTTAGTGGCGGATAGTTTAAAATAAAACTGGATTTAAAAGAAGGTCAAATTCTTGAATAAATAAAATACACAATTGAGTTTTCTTTATGAAAAAAAATAACTATGGAATATATAATTAAGGGGCTGGATTCTGTAAGGGAATGGTCCATTGGACGACTATGCAACAGGGATATATATATATGAGGAATACAGCTCCTCGAATTTTTATTCGAATTATATTTTTAAAATAGAAAGTCTGCCTGATGCAAATTTACTTTGTCAATAATTGCTGAAATTTTGAAAGTTAAAAAAAATCAGCTGCGTATTCAATTTTAATTGCTTTACAAGAAATGAAAAAATAATTTTGAATTTGCGTTCAATTTTGCAATTTCCTATAGAAATAGTTTGAAATCAAAATTCTTTAAAAATTTTTCACTATAAATACAGATGAGACAAATACAGATAAATATCTTAAGATATTTATCCTTGAAATTAATAGAAATTGTCATCTGTTAAATCAATTTCAAACAGGTGATTCAGCGTTAAGATGCGAAGACTGCAAGTACCGCTATATAGTCATAAAGTAAATGCAAGCAACATATTCCCACGTCAAAAGAATATTTTATAAGACATACATATTTGTACTACAAAATTTTAGTTTTAGCAAAAAGAGCAAATAATAAAAATACTTTTAAAAATGTAGACTATTAAAATTTTTAATGAGGCTTTTTTTTGCAGTGGAAACATATTTAAGTCCTGTGGAGACGCATTGCACGAATGTCAATTACTTTATTCCTGATGAAGAAAATGAAACAAGAAGCTTTACAGAAGATGCCATGACCAGACTTCGTAAGAGATATTGATAATTATTTTTATAAAAATTTTTCATCTAAACTAAAACAAGTTCTTTATATAGAAAATCAAATTTTAAGTTGCAATTTCAATCAAATTTTACAGACATGGGACGTTCAGTGATAGCTGTTTTTATTGTGGCCTTTCTGGCGATATTCTCAGCCTTTTGGACAGGAATAGTGGGCTGTTGGCGTAGATCACCAGGAAATATTACTGCAACTGCCATACTTATGTTGTGTGCTTGTTAGTATTTTCTGTTTTTTTTTTCTAAAAATTTTAGATTCAAGTTTTAGAGAGTAGAAAAGATCAAAAATTTTCCATTTTTAAAGGTTTGCTGAGTGCTGCAGGAATGGGTCTTTGGCACGGAGTTGAATACTACGAAAAAGAGAAAATGATTGGAGAAGAATATTTCCAACAGTGGAGCAATGTAAGTATTTATTTACATCGAATGATTTAGAAAAAAAAAATTTTATGCAAGAAATTACATCAAAACGATAAAGTAATCAATGTCAGTTTTTTTCCATATACAGAAATCTAAAATAGCCTACGAACCTATAACAAAGGATTGAATATTACTGTACTAAATATGAAAATTTTAAAGTAATCAAATCACAGAAAATTAAAAGGCATTAAAATAAGCTTATTATTTTAATCCAATTTTGCTTATTTTAATCCATTTTGGAATTAAAATAAGCAAAATTGGATTAAAAAAATAAGCGTTGCAGCTTATTTTAATAGCTTTTAATTTTCTGTGATAACATATACACTGAAAAAATAGTATTGAATTAAAAAATCCTTGTACGTTAATTTTCTCGAATTAAGAAAATTTACGCTTCAAGTACGAAGTTTTCTTGAAACAATGCCACTTTTTTTTTTTTGTTGGTATTTGAATACACGTGCTAAGGAAGAACTTACATAAATATTTTTATTGTTATTTATGTAAGTTCTTCCTTAGTACGGCAGTAAAAACACAATTTTTTTTTCTCAACCTACATTTTGTTAAAAATTAAGAAGAACACAATTCCAAAAAATTAGAATATTCAAATTCCTATACTGTAAAAAGAAAGTACTAAAATCACAGAAAATTAAAAGGCATTAAAATAAGCTGCAACGCTTATTATTTTAATCTAATTTTGCTTATTTTAATACCAAAATGGATTAAAATAATCCAGCTTATTTTAATGCCTTTTAATTTTCTGTGATAGTACCGATTTTATAGGTATCAAAATAGAACCAAAAGACAATTTAGTACCTAAAGTCGGTATTATAAATTAATACCTTTTGTTTAACAATTTTATCTCGAACAAAAACTGGAGTGAAAAATTTCTATTTGAAAAACAAGTGCATAATAGATTTTTTAAAAAAAAAATCCTATAGGTTCTAAAGGATAATGCAGTTCAATGGTATGATTGGTCCTTTTACCTAGCCTGGTTAGGAGTAGCAACATGTTTAGCGGCAATGACCCTATTCCTGATAGCTGCATCTTGTTTGCGCAAGGAGCGCATCCGGGAGCAAACCCAGAATATTCAATACATTATGCCAGGTGAAAATGAAAAATGAGAACAACCCTTATAAAACTAATCCCTGCTTTTTTTTTTTTTTTGGTTAACCCAATTCTAGGTCCTGAAGGACAATTCACTAATCTCGTATGACTGGTCATACGTGGTTGCTTGGGTCGGCGTCGGTTGGTCTTTGGTCAGCGCTATATTGTTTAGCGCAGCGGCGATATGCTTGCGGGGCGAGAGAATGCGTGAAGAAGCGATGAACATGCAGTACCTCATGCCTGGTACATAATATACGTAACATTTTATTGCTTTTACTAACTCTTCATTTAATTATAAAAAAAAGATTTATCAAATAATTAAGAGCGCTCTGAAAATGGGATCGAAAAAATTTAGATTATGTCTATGATAGTTTAAAGGTATTAATCAAAACTCTCATAAACGTAATTTTTGTGCCTCAAGTATTTTTTTCAAAAGCGCTTTTTATAGAAATTTTTAAATTGTACTCTGAATGATTGGTTAATTAACAAGAAATAAACAAATTTAGTTTAACTATTGTCCGCGACAAAATTATACAAACAGTTTTCTGAGGCTCTCAAATTGAGACCATAAACAGCATCAAAAAGTTGCATTCACAGAAAATTAAAAGGCATTAAAATAAGCTGCAACGGTTATTATTTTAATCCAATTTTGCTTATTTTAATACCAAAATGGATTAAAATAAGCAAAATTGTATTAAAATAAGAAGCGTTGCAGCTTATTTTAATGCCTTTTAATTTTCTGTGTTATCAACAATTTGATACACTTTATGGTCTCAATTTGATATCCTCAGAAAAACTGTGGCAGGAAAATTGTACTTTCGGTTATTAAATCGCTTTACTAAAATAATGATTTTTGGAAAAAATCTAAATTTTAATTTTCAAGGTCGTTTTAAAATAATTTAATAGCTGAATTTTTTGCTCGATTTTTTTTTGGTGAAACGCTTATATAGACTTTTTGCTAATAAAAGTGATTTCTATTTCAATATACAATTTCCTTTTTTTTTAGCAAAGCTATTTAAAGTGAAAGTACAATTTTTTTTTGTAGACTTATAATTTTCTCTCGGATTCTATGATTGTGACAGAGACAGAAGCTGTTACTTCTTGTTTGCACTTCAATCTAGTTTGCATCTTGTCCTACCCATATGTTTCCAGTAAAAAATAAGCACAAAATGAGAAGGCATTTGTTTTCAGTTATTCAAGGAATAAAAAAAAAGCATTCAGAATAAAATTTAACCTAATTTTTACAAAAAATAAAATTTGCATGGCGTTATTTCCTTCTATCTTTTATTATTAACAAAAGAATATAATTTCCTGGAAGTTTTTTTTTTTAATTTTAATAAATAAAAAGAGAAAGAATTTTTCAAGTGTTTTGTTAAATTGGTGTATAATTGATAATATACTAAACAAATTAAAAAAAAAAAATTAATATATTAAAAAAACTAATAACAGGTATAACTGGATTTAAAATTTTTGAAGAGTTTTTGAAAAATTGTATAAAACAAAATTTTTGTGTATATATAGAGAATGATATTTCCTCGATATCTCATCAATAATTGTATTGTGATTGAATTTTTTTCTATCTAATTGTGATATGCTCTATTTGTATCGAAAATTGAGAAAAACTAGCCGAGCGCATCAAAAGTCCCCTCGTTGGAACTGGTTATTCCTCTGCGCAGGGGACTTTAAATATGATTCGCGGCTTATTGCTTTTTAATGTTCAATAAAAAATTGACTTGATCTATATATAACTTTCTATAAAAATATTATCAATCGTACTTTATTGACTAGTTTTATAAATATATATACATTTTTGTATTAAATTTTTTTATTTTAATCTTTTTTTAAAATTTTTTATTAAATTAAAATAAATTTCCTTTTATGTCCTTTTTTTTGCCTCAAATTTTTTTTGTCAATAGCAGGAGGTTTGGTATTTCTGCTCCAGGCAAAAATAAAAATCAATATCCTGAATTCTACATATATACTTTTTGTTACCTATTCTACTCTTTTTTAACAGGGCAAAAATTTTTTAAAAATTTATTTTACTCACATTTTTATTCAGTTTCAACTAAAATATTGATATTTTTCTTTACAGTTTACCCTCAAAAACAACAATACGCCTACGCTGGATATCCAGCACCAGCGGCATATCCAGGACCTTATTATCATGGTTCACAATATGGGCCTTATAATTATTGAAAATCAAGTTTTTAAAGTGTTTCAAGTGCAATGAAGAAAAAAAAAATAATTAAAGGGACTACACATAGTCCAATTTAAAACTGAATCCCTCCAAAATTCAATTGTCCGTTTTTTTTTTTGTATAAATTTATTCAGTCATATATAGTAAACACTCAAATGGATGCTTTAAAATAATAAGTCATTGTTTAGTTCTAATCAACATATATATGAAAAAAGAGACAATTTTTTAAGTAGTTATTTCTGCATATTAATTTTGTTATACAAATATTGCAATTAATTTTGTGTACCACATAAATGGCGCAACATTATTAAAAAAAAATGCGTGTACATTATTATTAAGTAAAAAAAAAAATAAAATTTTGGTGCTGTTGACTTGAAAGCATCAGGATCAAAATTCAAGAAAGACTAAATTTACATATATTTAAAATATACATATTGTATATTTGAAACTTATTGATCATACTTCGAACGTTAACAAATAACTTTATCATCAAAGTTTAAATATGTTAAATACTCATATTTTCATCGAAAAAAAAAAGGATTAGAATAAAAATTTTATCAAAGTTTTTTTCAGTTAATGAAAAAAGCGTGAAATACTCTAATGTATTAATTAAGTTTTTATTATATCTTAATAAAAAAAAAAAAATGTAAGTGTAATATTATTACTTAATAGTGTAAATTAATGAAAAATAAACTTTATACTGAATAATGAAAATTAATTTTATTTCTTGAAATTCAATTTTTTCAATTAAATCCTAATTGGCTAATTTTGTATCGTTTCCATGGTAACGTTTGCATAAGATAAGGATAGAAAAATTGACAAGAGAGATGAAAGATCGTTCAAACTCCTCTTTCTCTTTCCTTAAGCCCGTCAAGAACTTTTATGGAAAGAGAGAGAGGAGTTTCAACAATCTTCCATCTCTTTCTGCCTGAGAAATCAAATATGGCCGTAAACTGGAGTACTGGATAAAATACAATTTTTCTTTTAATGCCTCAAATTAAATTTAAATCTCATATTTTGTGATTATTTCCTTTTTTAAAGGATTATTTTAATCAGTTTATTTAATAATAAAATAATTAAAACAAAAATTAAAAAATTATTTAAAAAAAAAATAGATTTTATCGTCTCTAATACAGAGTCGATTATAAACTTGTCCTCCAGTTTACGGACATATTTTTCCCATCCAACTTCTGAACACCGCCTACAAAAAGTGAAATTATCTTCAGGTTATGTGGATGTTGATGTCGTGTCGAAATAATCCATTGTATTCAGTTCTGACAGTTTGTTGTAACAAGTCATATAAAAAGAAGAGGAAAAAAAAATAAATTGTTATATTTTCAACAATACTCTTAATTTAACTAATTTTATTTGTAATAATTTTTTGAATATTTATAACAGTATTATATTTTACTATCATTTTTTTTTATTTTAATAACTAAAAAGAGAAAATATGTTTGTGATATTTATACTACTTTTAATTTTCACAACCTGGACGACTCAAGCAGAAAAAGTGAATTTCAAGAAACAAAAAGTAAGTTTTAAATCTAAACTTATAATTTTATATTTATATAAATTTACGATTTAAATTTTGGATAAAAAATTAATAAATAATTATATTTTTCTAATTGAATGGTGAATTTCGAAAAGGGCTCAACTCGAAAAAGCGTAAGTGTCATTTTCGCATAACAATTGATAGTGAAAATGACTCTTAGCCTTTTTAGAGTTGAGCCCTTTTCGAAATTCACCATTCAATTATAATATGCAGAATTTTAATTTAATTTTTTTTAATTACTTTAATACAATTTTTCAACAATTCAGGGAAATAAAATTTTTTTTAATTAAAAATACTCTAAAATTCCATTATTCTTTAAAGTTTGTAAAAAAATTTTATCAAATAAAATTAATGAAAGTTTCAATTTAAAAAAAAAATATGCAGAATTTTTTATTAGCATATCACGAGATTGTTCAATGATCAATAAGGAAAATTTAATGTTTTTTTTTACTGTTTTATCTGGTTTTTATTTTTATAATTATAAATATTTTCAGAATTTACATCAGCCTGGTGAACTTAATGTAAATCAAATAAATATTCTTGCACAATTATCAAATTTAACTCATATGGATGAAATTTTAGATAATATTTGTATTGAAAGAGTTGTGGGAACACCTAATCATGAAGCTGTTAAAGAAGTAAGAATATTTTTATTTACTTTTTAAAAAAAAATTTTTTTTTGTTTAAAAAAGTTTTAATAAAAATTAAAAATTTTTTTTTTGTTTAAAAAAGTTTTAATATAAATTTAAAAAAAATTTTTTTAGTAAATTAAAAATTTTTAAATTATTTCTAGTATATATCTAATTCAATGTCAAATCTTGGATGGTCAGTAGAAATTGATACATTTTATGACAATGCACCAATAATGGGAAGACTAAAATTTAGCAATATAATAGCAAAACTTAATCCACATGCAACAAGATATTTAACAATAGCTTGTCATTATGATTCAAAATATATGCCAAATATAAAATTTGTTGGAGCCACAGATAGTGCTGTACCATGTGCACAATTAATTAATACAGCAATGGTTATGAACAGATATTTAAAAACTGTGAAAAATGTGAGTAAACTAAATTTCAAAATTATATTATTATTATTATTATTATTATTATTATTATTATTATTATTATTATTATTATTAATATTAACAATTATTTATTTTTTTCTTTAAATCAGCAAGACGTGAGTCTAATGTTTATTTTCTTTGATGGTGAAGAAGCATTTGAAAATTGGGGACCAAGGGATTCAATTTATGGAGCTAGACACCTGGCTAAAAAATGGAGCCAGACGCCTTGTTTAGAACATTTAGGCAATAATATTTCAGAACTCGATAAAATAGTAAATATTTTATATAAAAATATTTTATATAATTTTTTTTTTTTTTTTTCGAAAATTAAAACTGAATAATTTTTAGGATCTACTAGTTTTATTGGATTTAATAGGGGATCCAAATTCAAAATTTTGTAACTATTTTACAAATAGAGAAAAATGGTATAAGTTACTATTATCGGCTGAGAAATATTTAGCTGATATGAAATTGTTTGAAAACTATTTTTATGGACGCCAAAAGTATTTTGAAGAACATTCCACACCATCTTATATCGAGGATGATCATATACCATTTCAGAAAAAAAGTATGATATAAAAATTTATAAATTTTTATCTTAAATTAATAATATTTTCTATTTTAGATGTACCAGTACTACACATCATACCATATCAATTTCCAATTACCTGGCACACTGAAGACGACAATAGAGAAAATATTGATTTAGAAACAACTGAAAATATCAATAAAATTCTTCGAATATTTATTGCCTCATATCTACATATTCAGGTTTAAATATTCACCTATAGATTTATTTTTTATATTGAGAATGCGTCTCTAAAAAATAATCTTCAAAAACTACTAAAAATATTCAAACGAAATTTTTTTAACTAAAGGGATTAATTTTTTTTTGTAAAGCTACTTTAATTTTAGAATAATGAAATCGCCTGTATAGTTTTTCTATTACCAAAAAAACCAATGTGTAAATAATTTTTAAAGAGCAATATATTTTCAATTGTATTAGATATATAAATAATAATTATAAAAAATGTGAAAATAAACGTTATTTTTTTTGTAAATATATGAAAATGTAAAATTTCTATTACAATAGACTTGTAAATAAAAACTTAAAATATATTATTTGAATTTTTAAATTATTAAAGTCTATATGAATATAAAATATATATTAAGTAGCTTAAAAAATTGATAATAATAAATAATTTCATTTTCACAAATTTCTTTAAAAAAAAAGACTTACCGAACGTAGATTCCGTTAACAGAATTACGGCAGCATTGTCTTCTAAACCACATCCAATTGGTCACTTCTGTGTAGATTCTAAGGAATAAAAAAAAAATAATAAAATTATTAATTTTTTTTTTAAATTTAAAACTTATGACAGCGAATACCGCCAAAATCTTAACAAAAAATGTACGGCGCACTTTTTTCTTTTAAATCCGAATTTTCGGAAAAATTGTCAATTTTTTACATTGCATGATATTAAATGCGAATTAAAGAAAAATATAATAAATTATAATTAAAAAAACATATGAACTTACAGATATAAAGATTATTTTATATTCATCATCCATCCAAGAGGTGCTCTCGTCATTCAAAACTTACATAAAACACTCGCGATTTTAAAAATTTCGAACACCTGCTTTTTGTATAAAACAACTTTTTTTAATTAAATATCCGATCGCGGTTTTAAATATTACGAACACTCCCGATATTAAAAATTGTCATTTATCATAATTTATAGTTTCTTCTTTTTCTTCTTCTTCTTCTTCTTTAATTTAGTCACTTCAAATTCGCGGCCACGTGCATCAAATTCATGTAAAATTCCTCTTCTGGCCAAATTTGTAACTATTCAAGTAGGGAAAATTTGAATTTAAACCACCTTTCTCTCTTTAACGCCAGGTGGTGTATACGTGCTATATTTAAAAAAAAAATTATTTATTTAATTAAATACAACTGAATAAAATATTATTGTTTATAATTATAAATACACAAAGAGAAAAAAAGATACCTGCTTTACCTGACAACATAGCTATACACACTTTTCTATTCTTTTTCAAAAAATATTTTCAATTTCTTTAATTAATTTTTCAAAATATTCACAAACTGAATCACTAGAAATTAGTAAGAAAATTCGTTCTACATAATTCAGAAATATATAGAAGTTTAATTTAGTATAAAGTGTTAATACAATTGTAAACATACATTAAGGCAGTGTATACATATACGTAGAAATTAAATTTCGTTTGAAAATTATATCAGCAAAACGGATATTTATAATAGTAGTAATAGTAAACGAAAAACACTTCAAAGAATAATAATATTAAAATATTTTTCTTTGATATTAAAAGGCATTTTATTACAATTTAGCCAGTCAAACATTAAAATTATTCTCAGCCATTCAATTTTTAAACTGACTTAAATTTTTTCTAAAGGAAATATAAATGAATATCAAAAGATTTAATTGTTCTGTCAATTTTTAACACGTTTTATCAACTTTGTTTCATTTTTTGGTTTCATGTGGTCCATTGTAATAATTAAATTACTTTTTTTTCCAAACATACACACAAAAGCACAAAGCAGATTTTTTATACTTAGACATACGCTTTAAAAAAAAGTGTATAAGATTAAAATGTAAGATTTTATAAAATATCTAACTTTTCGTTGTTAAGGGGAAAACAATAAAAATTCTGTCGATTAAAAAAAAAAAAAGAAAAAATTACATAATTTCTTCATTCTGATTCGTTTTGTAATACAAATATAATATTTGTATTTAAATATAAAATTGACAAGCAGAATAAAAAATTGTTAATATTATAGAATAAATATTTTTTTTTTTTTTTAAATTAATCTGTCAATTGGAATGAAATCAAAGTTTCTTGAATGACAATCTTGAGATCAGGGATGCAAAAGTTTCTTAAAACTGAATTGGCATTATTAATTTATATAAATGGAAAATAACTAGCTTAGAGAAATTAATTAAAAATCCGTTGTGTAGTAGAAATAATACATATACAAAAAAATGTCCTCCACCAACTTAACATAATAAATTATCTAAACGATCGTACATAAGATTAAAAAAAAAATGTTGACGCACCAACTTAATTTTTCTAACGAATTGAAACAGCCAAATTACTTTTCTGAATTTTCAAAAATATGTAATATTTCTGTTTCGAATTGAGATGTATATATATATATAATGAGAAAGTATATATTAACTTAATTCGATCCATGGAAGGAAATTCTCAACCTTTTGTTTTAACCTATTTTCGAAGGATCAAATTTAACAAATACTTTCTTATTTTTTTTTTTTTCTTAAATTTCTGAATTAAAATACAACATAGCATATCAGCCGCTAATAGTTTCAAAACGTTTTACAATACATTATGACGATTATAATTAGTATTGAGTAATTGACTCTTGTAAAACGGATAAAAGAAACTATGTATATAAAAAATATTCATTTTTTTTTTCTTTTTAATCCAAAATATATAAACTTCCTCTGTATTTCATTTAGAGAAAAGGTAAGGCAACCTGAATACTGTAATGGAATAAGTCCAGAATTGGATAAAACAATTCTCATTTTTCATATCTAATTTTAGACTGATATGGCTGTTAATATTTTTTTTTTTTTTTTTTAAGTGCAATTTACTTCTGTACACCTAAGAGTAAATTTTTTACAGTTAGTCTCTCTTTCTGGTTCAACATTATCTTATAATGTTATATGTAAAATGATTTTTAAAAAAACTTAAGCAAAACTAATATGATATTTCTTTTTTTATAAGTACGAATATTTTGCATCTGCGTTTTAAAAATAATATGCATTTTTCATACCTAACATTATAATCATCGTCAGTGAATTAAACAAATGAAATTTGTTTTCAATAATACGCGTATTTTGTTTGTTAAAAAAAAAAAAATATTCAACAAAAAGGCAAATAAAATATTTCTTAAAATTAAATGCAACCAGGGTCAAAAAACAGATTATATATGGACAATTATAACCGGAATAATACAAACATTATTGCACAAAATCGCGATTTTTAATTAAAAAATTTTAAAATCACTTCTATTTAAAAAAAAAACAACTGTTTTGTAAGTATAAAATACTTTCTATGTACTTAAAATAAAATCTTGATTAAGACCCTGGTTTTGCAGTCATCACGTAAAATTTTGAAAATTGTTTTTTCAAAATTCTTATCCTACTTATTCAAATGCGATTCTTGTTATTTTTGAATACACTGGTGAATGTGAAAAAATTATTAATTCGCTTGCTCGTTTACAAAAAAAAAATTGTGTGTACAGTGAACAAGCTTAATTAAAAAATATATAGGAAGATTCTATATATATATATATGTATATATACTTTCGGATTATAATTGTATAGAATTATTTACTAAGAAAAATTATTCTAAAGCTTAATCTCCAAAATTTAAGTCTCATAACTTTGCTTTTAAAGTTTTTTTAATTCAAAGTTTTTGATATCTTAAAATTCTGTAACTAAAATTCAAGCTAATCTGATATATATATATAGTAAAATTTTTTAAAAATGATCTACAAGAACTTTAACGTCACTGTACACTTGTGTTAAGTAAAGGCACTTAACTTCATTATTTCATCATTATTTGATGAAAATATCGAACAGACATTAAATTTTCTTTTTATTTTGATAAAATATTTAAGAATTAACTTCTTCTGGTCTTGCAAGAGGAGCCTTTGATTTTTCAGTAGTAACTGTGGTTGTTGTCACTTCTAATTTTGCAAGTTCTGCAGCACTAAGCTGTAATATAAATTTATTTTAATAACAAAGAATATTCACCAGTATAGGCAAATTTTACTAGCTGGATTCAGTTTTTAAAACTCAATGGTATATTTAAAATGATGAAGCATTTGAATAAATGAATGAATGATTCACAAGATGAATAAATGCTTCTGCAAGGCGATTTTTTTTTGATGAAAAAGCATTCGTAGCCTACATTTAAAGAAGAGATATGTTAGTATGAAAATAGATTAGTTTTGTTAATAATGACATAAATAACATGCTAAGCGTTTGTTAGTATTGTTAATGTTAATGTTAAGCCTTTCCCCCTTAAGCTTGATAAATTTAATCAGAGCCAAATGCTGACCTCAACATTAGGAGGTAGAGTGATGGTGGCGTGCGTCGTTGTCGTTTCGATTCCACTGCTAATTTCTCTTTCCACTGTAGTACCTGGGAAACAAATAATAATTTTATTTTTGTACTCGAAATAAAAACTTGTTATTTACCTAAAAATTGAGCAAAATAAAAACTTAAAAAAAATCTTACTATTGATTTCTGATCCTTCACTTGCTTGAATGGTTTCAACCTCTCCATTTGTTGTTCCATTAGTAGTCGATTGAGATACAACAGTTGTTGTTTTTACAACAACTGTCTGATTTTGAGTCGCTGTTTCAGATGTTCTGGATGTTACTTCCATTTTAAGTCCAGCTAAACGGTTATGAAGATCCTCCGATGATGTAGCATTTTTAAAAAGCGAACTATTACTAAAAGGAGAAGAAAAAAAAATGAAGAATTACTAAAATTCGAGAGAATATATATTTAAAATATTTTATAAATAACTTACAGCAAATGATCCTTGACACTGTCAATAGTAATATCACCGACTGAATTTTGATCTTGACGATCATCATCGCCATTAATATCCGTAGTACTAGCAGCTGGTTTTAGTGATGGCTCCTTAGGAGTTTCTTCCCCATCAGCTAAAATTAATGTGTTGGAATTCGAAACTAACTCTTGAATATACTTAATTCCATTCAAACACAAGACTTTCACAAAGCAAATATAAAAAACATAGACAATTAGAGAAAAAAAAAATAATTTCACTATGAAATAGCAGAACACATTATGAATATTGTTTGCTAAGCGATTAGTGATTTTCAACTCTCTGAACTGTACGTATGTAATTTGAAAAAAATGAATATCGCATAAAATCTAAATGATGGGAAATTATTTACTTACTTGATCCAACTATTCCATTTTCTGTAATATTTTTCGCCGCAGGCTCCGACTGATCATCTTGAACTTCATCTTCTGTACCATCTTCTGTACTCGTTTGCTCCATACTCTCTTCTTTTGTTTCTGTCGACATCGATCTTGCATTCGGTGGTAAACTCAATGCACAATGCGCTCTCACTCCTTTTGTTGGTGTTAATGAAATTCGCTGAAGTTCGGAACTTGAATGTAAATAAAGAGCTTCAGCTGACCTTGTAAATGATAATGAGGAAATTCCACTAAAAACAAAAAAAAAAAGGTTAAGAACATTTTTTAACTTGAACATTGTTTAACTGATTTAAAAAAGAAATTACTTGATATCTTCTCTCTTAATAGCCGCCGTATTGACCTGTCTTCTTAATTCTGGAACACTAAGCACTAGGCATTCTCCTAAATTAGTAAGGCAAAGAAGGCACGTTTCTTCATGAATACCTGATGGTTCCACTGAACATGAAAATTTAGCAAATCCTGTTTTTCTAACTCTTGAACCTTCATGAGCTGTTAGTTTATATTTGCAAAAAGGTTTTAAAGATGGAAGATTAAATATTTTAAATTGTTCTTCACTGGCAATGACAACTCTATGCGGTGATGTCATATCTGGTCCCGAACTAACTCCTTTTTCAACTTCAAAAGATTCTGGTAAAGGAATACTTGCACCATCGAGAATAGTAATTGCAATTACAGGAGCTCGATGTTTCAATTGAATTTCTTTACCCAATGTACAATTGACATCTTCTTCTTTACGTCTTGCTCCAGCTGGAATTGCCAAAGTGAAAACGTACACTGTTCCGTTATTCGTACCAGCCCAAAGCGTAGGCGTCGTATTTTGCACTGTAATTATAATAATATTATTATTAAATTAATTACAATTGAAAAACAACAAAATCAATACTTACTACTTATAATATAACTTCTCGCGAAATAAAGACATCGAACCATTGAACCAAGAGCATCATCGACAGGTCTTGCTTCAACTTGTCTCTCAACTGATTTTATAGCTTCTCCTGGTGAGAGTTCAACACTTGGAGAAGATATAATTGTAGGTCTGAAAATAAATTATTCATTTATAAACTAATTTTGCAATTATAAAAATTACAATAAACACTTACGTTTCTTTTTTCTTTTCTTGAGCAGTATTTGGACTACTGGTATTTGTACGACGTTGCGATCTACCTTTTCTCAATCTTCTAAATGATTCTCTTAATGATTTCTTAAATGATTTTCTTCTAGAAATCGGCGTATCACCTGAACCAGACAGATCTAAAAAAAAAAGAAGAAATTAAGTTATATTTTCAAAAATTGAAATAACTTTCGAAACAAAAATAAATTTACCATTTGGATTAAGTGTGCATTTAACATTAACAGCTTTTGCTCTTATATAATCGAATAAAGCCAATCCATGAGCGGTACCAGCCGCAATGAGTCCCCATTCGCTTTGCAGAGCCAATGCTGTTATTGCAGCTGGTGGATACAACTGCAAAAGTGTTTGCGGTTGAAATCCAACGGCAAAAGAAATGCTAGTTGTTCTTGGTGGCAAATGATCGTGACCTTTCCAAGTAAAGCCATCTCGATCATTTACCACATTCATGGTGACTGCTTTAATTTCTTTATTAATTGCTTCCGGTGATATTGATGCCGTAATAACATGACCTGCCGTTCCAGCAATGATTAAAGTCGATGAAAGTGGACAGAGAAGAATTTTCTTCACTGCCAAACGTGGATCATCAGAATAAGGATCAAAAGTGCCAACTTTTCTAAAACGTGGCCATTCATCTTCATCATCTTCTGGTGCCTGTTCTAATACATCTAAATGCTCACCAGTAAAAAGAAGTGATGAATTGTATTTGTATAAAGATGTCAAGGCAACGTTTGAAGCGTCCCAAAATCTTACTGTACCATCTTCATGACCTGTCAGTAATAATTCTCTCATTGTTTCCTCTGTCTCGTCAACTTTTTTCGATAATACAACACCTCCATCGATTGGCCATATTTTCTCTGAATAAAGATGTTCTGTTTGCAATTTTCCAGCCGCTAAAATTGCATCCCATAAATCTTGTGGAACATTTGGAACATGTTGCGAGCAAGTGACCTAAAATTTTTCATTATAAGTTAATTTATTTCTTTCTTTATTTTAATTAAAAAATAGACAAAAATTTACTTACTGCACTTGCATGAAGTGATACCAAATATGGTAATGCCATCATTTTCCACTCAGGATGTGTTAAATCAATTGCAATTAATTCTTCCTCGGCAAGAACAATAAGTGCTTCGGGACATCCAAAAGTTGTATTATTTTCTTTTTCTTCTTGAGATTGTTTTGGTAGAACAGTAAAGAAATCAATAACTTTTGAAGTAAAATCAAATGCTACTTGTTTGCTATTTGTCATTACTGTTATCGTATGTCGATCACCATAACTTGCTCTTGGCATACCACCGGAAAATATTAACATCTCTCCATCACTTGAAATAAAAACAAATTAATTAAAATGTCAAATTAATGTTGATTTCTATGATAAATGAATTAAAACTTACTCAACAGTGGAATGAACAACGATTTTTGAAATTGATTTACAAGGCAGTGGGCCATAATGTGTTTTGGGCTCCATAACATCTTCACTTCCAGGACTCCAAAACGAATAAGAGCCATCATTGTGAGATGAAACAAATCGATTCTCAGTGATCCAATAAACCCATTCCAGTTGATTTTTTGAGATGAAGGTCTGTGCACGCGAAAATAAACCCATCAGCTGCGTACACACGATCGCCAAAACCACCAAAGACACAAACAACAACAACAACAACAGTCAGAAGAAGAAATACCAATTCGCGTAAAATTGTCCATCCACCAATTTTTTTTTTTTTTTTAAATTTTTAAATTATCGGACAACACAAAAGCATTATATTTTGTTTTTTTAATTATTTTTATGATTAAATTTAACCGGTAATTAAATGAAAATTAATTTCTTTTAACTTTAAGCGAGATGAATAGTCTCTATTAGTGTGAATATATTATAAAGTTTGTGACATCAAGGTCAAATGAGTATGAGTGGTACATTTGCAATGACAATTATTTGAAAGAAAAGAAACACATACCTGTTGAGCACCTGGAGTTGCTTTATTCCAAAGAACCATTAAACCTCGATTATATCCTATTAAAATATTATCTGGATGTCCAGGTTGTTCCGCGATTGCTTCTACTGCTCCTGGATTAATTTTATAGTCTGCTGGAACGCTAAATTTAAAAAAAAAGAGAAATGTTAATAACAATATTCTCAATGATTAAACAATTGGATTCTTTTTTAAACTTACTTTTGCATTACAACATCCTGATAAATCATTGTTTCTGATATTGTGAATGTTTTTAATTTCAATAAATAAATATTTCCACCTTCTGTTCCCAATAAAAGATGTTCGTTTGTCGATTCAAGGCAAATTGCTGAAATTTTTTTCAATTTACCTTCCAAACATAAACTTGTTGTTTCCACAACAGAATTATTATTAATTTCCCATAAATGAAGAGAATTCTCATCACAAAGTGAAACCAAACGCCCCTAAAAATTAAAAAAAAAAAATTATTTACAAAATGCAAATTTACATTTTAAAAATTGGAAAAAATTATTAAATTCTTTATGATTAAAAAGTGGATATAATTAAAATAATATATAAAATAATTGTAATTCGTATTTTTTTTTAGAATTCTCAAATTTAAAAGAAAGAAATGAATTAAAATTACTTTTTTCTATTATCTTATCATATTAAGCCTTTGCTTAAAAGAATACGCTGATAAAGGCATTTACTGCAAAATAAAAAATGTATGTCGTCAAACGCAATACTTTTTTGTATTAAAAAAACACTTTCCTTTCTTAATTTAATGAATAAAAAAAAATTCATATTCACGTAAAGCATACTCTAAACAGCCTAAATTAATAGTAATTTAAATTATTAAAGTTCCGAACGTGTGAATTGTAAATTTACAAATAAAAAACCCACTCAAGCAAATTATAGAAAAATGCGAGAGAAATATAATATAATATAAAATATAATATAATATTTTTAATATATAAAATATTGTATAATTGAAAAAGAAAAAATTTAAAAAAACTATTATTAGACAATAAATACGTATATAAAAATGAAGAATTGTAATAATTGAGGGTCACAAGTGTTTAAACGTGTATGAATGCATAAAGAATAAAATGTTTTATCTTTCTATTTGTATTCAATACGTGACAGTTATTGTTATTTGCAAAATGAAAAAAAATTGTGAATAGATATATCTTTTTAAAGTGCAATACATAAAAGTAATGTACTTACCTCATTTGGAAGAGCAATAATTTTGGTAACTGCATTTTTTTCTCCACTTTCATTCTTATGATGTCCATAAAATTCTACACCTGGCCTTCCAAATCTGTTTTAGAATAAATCTTTTGGTTAAGGACAAAACTAATGACATGATAATTCCTTCGAAATAGATATAGAATAATTAATAATAAAATAATAAGAAATTAAAAAACAATTTTAGGGATTCAAACAAATATTTGAAAATTTCAAGATACAGTCTATTTCTGATAATGATGGAATTTTCTTGTTCTACATTTTTATTAAAATGGTATATTGGAAAAAAATATTTATTATTATTGAGACAATTTTTTTTTTGTCAACAATTATCTGAATTTTTTAATCCTAAGAGAAAATTTTAATTTCGATTTGAAAATAATTTTAAATATTGTGTAATATTTAAGTTTATCGATATGGTCAATTGTTAAACGGGATCGTTCTTTAAAAGGTACGTCTATGAAAAGTGATACAGTGGTGATAAGGTACAATTTTAAGTTATATATCGTTACACCGATATGCAATACTTTTTTCAATACGTTCAATTCTGATCGACTTGTGCTATAAAAATTTTAATATATAATTCTCACAAAAAATATTATGGAGAAATAATATTTTTTATAATTTACTTTTTTATTAATCTTCTTCTTTTTCGTATAAAAAAAATTATTTAAAAAATAAAATCTTCATTATAAATAAAAAAAGGATACACTTTTATAGCACCAGATGCTGTTCCTATGATCATAAGCCGCAAACTTGAATCCCAAGCAAGGGCAGTTGGTTTATTAGGAAAACCATGCTCTAGAGTCTGTAAAAATAAAAACCAATTTAGAAAATTTATATAGTAAAATGAAAAATTTTTTTTTAATAAATAAAACTAAAAATTAACAATATAGACTTATAAATTTTCACTAATTTAAAAATTAATTTAAAACTCAAATTTATTTTTTTTTTATTCTTTCAACATAAAAACGAATTACGATTTTAAAAAAAGAAAATAGTTCTTAAAAAAAATTTCAACTAATTTAAAATAGTTGGACACCAGACTCATGACTCATCGATGACTCGTCATCAGCATTAACAAAATTGAATTATTATGTTGTATGGAAGATTCCGCACATGAAATGAAAACCGTGGAATAATATATCTATATTATACTATAGGTATATTCCATACATGAAAAAAACCATACAAGATAATATTATTAAAAATTCTTATAATAATTGTTTAACATTTTTTTTTATTCATTTTTTTAAATTTTAAAGTTTTTAAATTAAAATTTTAATGAAATTTTGAAATCAAAAACTTGAATTTCGCAAATTTCATACGAGATATAAATGATTAAACTATACATTGGGAGGGGACATTTAATCAAGTCTTCTCAGATCTGCATTTGAGGTAGTGAAAGTTTGACATACTCTATAGAAGTGTATACTTCTATTCGGTTAAATCAGGAACTCTCGTCATCACATCATTGTTGATTATAAGAAATTTTACTATAGATTATTGCTTTATTTAAAATTCCAAAAATTTTATAGATAATTTATTAATTATTTAATAATTTTTATATTTACTTTTTAAATTCTTAATAATTATATATAATGTATTGTTGTAGACAGATTATTATTTTGGTCTGCAAAAAAGACGGATGGAAAAAGTTAACATTCGTTACTTCAAAAATATTTTTTTGTTTAAAAAATTAATTAATTTTAATTAAAGTTAAAATAATTCTCACGAAAATATTACATGGATCTTCTCTGTAGTACATGTATATTAAGTTACTCATAAATACATACTTGCAAACAGTGAAAGGATTTAAGAGTTTACTATTTTCCACTCACTTTAACCCCTCCTATCAATAAATAATTAATTATTAAATAAACTATTCAAAAATAAATACCAGATTAAATATTTATTTTTTAATTTCTAAAATTATAAATTAAACCTTTCACTTTAGTTATATGTATTTTGGAGCAGTTTAATAATTTTTTTATTATTATCTGCATGCATTGCTAACTGATAAGATGTATATCTTGACCAATAAATACAACAGAATCGTCTGTATAATATGATTTTAATTTTTTTCTAATCTAAAATTTGTAAAAATTTTCAACTAAAATGATTAGATATGTTTAGTAATAACTAAATTCGTCTATTCGGCATTTAAAATGAAATTCAGTTAAATAATACCTTTGTATAAATTTCATATTATTTATCTTATATTTTATTTCGTATTTTTTAAATTTTAGATTTTTCTAGAAAAATACAGATAAATTCTTTTTGATATTTCTTCTACATATTATGACAGAAAAATTGAACTGTATTTTAACGATCGGAATTAAATCATTGCTAAGGTTTCAAGAGTAATGAATCGTGTCAACACATATTGCACTGTCAGTAAAATGTAGGCGTAAAAAGCAATGGAAATATGATTAAGAAACGTCTTACTGTTATTTCTTAAAATATCAAAAAATAATATTTAATATTATTCTTATATTTAATTCATTTTTAAAATGCATCTTCAAATTTTAACCATATTATATAAATTTGAAAAAAATTTAAAAGCGAAATTACTGTATCAAATCTTATTTCTAATTGTTTGTTTATAAAACATAGATTTTTTTTGTTTTAAACAAAATACAAAACTCGCACACGACTAAAAGGAATGTGGATTTGTCACGCAAACGGTGTTTTTGTGGCAGAGATTACTTGAAACGCTTCTTGAGCATGGAATAAAATTAAACTAGTTTTGTGAGAAGCTAACGGTTTACGGTTATAGTAAGAAGCATTTATATTTTTATAGTTTGTAAGTTGTAACTTGAAACATTGGTTAAGTATAGAGAATGCACAAAGTTCCTTCAAAATGAAGGAAATGTTCTATATAATCTTGTTTAAATTTTAATGTCATAAAGCATAGCTTTAGATATCAAATTACATAAATATTATAAAAAGAAGAAATGTAGATGTAATTATTAATGTTTAAAGAAATGCTTTCAAGAACAATTTAACTACATTTATGTCAAAACGAATCTTGGTTTTATTTCATTTTTCTACATTTTGTCATTCCATAAGCAAATTCTAAAGAGAAGTCTGTAATTTAATATTGCAAAAAAATCATTTTGAATATTCTGACCCATTTTCTAATGTTTATATTTTTCTAATATTACTTCAAAAATATTTTTGATTGTTTCAGTGAAAGAATATTTTTTTCAATTAAAAAACGCTACTAATTATAAGAAGTAAATGTCAAATTTAGAGGTTAGAATTTATAATGTCCTCTTTTAAAAAGAATTGACGTGTAATAAACAAGTAAATAATTTTTTTTTTTATCAGAAAAAGAGGCGAAAAACAATAATAATTCTTTTCAACATTGTTGTATAGTTTACCTTTCGAAATCCAAAGAGATCCTTTTGCAGCTTCTGACGTTCTGCTGTGGGTTGCTGACCCTTTCCTCTGATAAATTTAAGCATCCTGCAGAATATAGCTGTCAACCGAAATAAAAATTTAACTGTGCACGTTAATTTTTTTCCTTTGCGGTCTTCTTCTTTTACACTTTTAATAAATTATGATCCGTTTTGTGGAAAAATAAAAATTTGATTAAAACATTATCAAAATGAACAGAAAACCACATGAAGCCAATTTTTTTGTCGTCGGTGTTTGCCAGAAACACGTTCGACACGCCTGCCCCTCCTGCACAACACGTCGTTCGGCTCACCTCTTTCTTTCTTTCAAATTGTGTGTTAGATGCCTTGGGTTTCGTGATTGTTGGCGAAAAAGGAAACAACACAGTCACTAAAACTTTTTAAACTTTTTTCTTTGTAACTAACGGACGTCCCGCGAAATTCGCAAGTCGCGAAATTCTGTAAAACCATGGAAAAACACTTTAACGTGAACTAAAATTCATTCCAGACACACATATGACATAATGAAAATGATCATAGGCGTGGGTACGGCTAGGAGCTAAATAGTTCACAAAACTGACGCCACAAGGCGATACTATCGAAGTACAGGGTTGAGAAGCTAAATCACAAAATACCAAAAGTAAAGGTCGTTTTACAAACTCAGATGGCGCAGTAGTGCCAACATTTTCACATTTCGAACGTTCTACTTTGTCAAATTTTTTGTTGACATACGAAAGAAAAGGATAGGTATAAAATGATTCGTCATCTCTCTCAGTTTGCACTTAGCAACAGCAGAACGCATTCCAGTTTTATATAGTTCAATGGTTGTTTTCAACACCCTTCCTTCGTATCTAACTGCTATGTACAATTTAGCACGGTGATTCAAGAAAGAGAACGAGAAAGAGAGAGAGAGTGCGAGAAATCAAGAAATAGACCTTTCGTGTCGAAACAAGTTTTAGTACGCTCGCCTCTAAAGTAATTGTGAGTGTTATACTGCGAGTGATCTATACAAAGAAGGTATGTGTCAACCTTCATCTTGACGGAACTAAATAAGCAATGCCTTCAAAACCGCGTCTTCGTTTATTCCTTTGACGTTTCGAGACGCGTGGTGTGCGAGGTTCTGTTTTCAAGACATAACGAGGGTGTCGGCCATCGTGAGTGACCTGACAAGTTTTTATCGTTCTGTTTCTGAACAATATGTAAAACAATAGATAATTGAGTATGGCATAATCAACAACACAATCTTCTTTGTATCAATATTTTTCTCCATTTTAAAGTTAAATCTTCACAGCAAAATACATTTTGCCTATAACTTTCCCCTTATCGTCAAAGTACAAGTACAACAACGCCAGCGCCATCGTCATAAGCTTTACTCCTGGACTCCAAAGAAAGAAGAAAATGTTAAATCCGTAGTCGGTAGCGTAATCAAATATGGAAGATCAGGCCCTGTAGCAGATTTTCTAAACATCACAACAGACTGAACTTGACTTGAAAAGACGAAGATATTTAATTTCTTCATCAATTGCTGAGATGGAGCTTCGCGTGGGCAACAAGTACCGGTTAGGAAGAAAAATCGGGAGCGGTTCCTTCGGAGATATTTATTTAGGTTAGTAAATTCAAATATGAATATAAATATGTACTCTATATACAAACTACATCTGTCATATACACTGTTAAAAATTTATTCTCCTGTTGATAGTAAAGCATTTGCTTCTGCGCTTTTATTTTTCTTTTAAACAAACAAGTTTTCTTAATTTCTTTTTCTTATTGCGATCCCTGTTTGGATATATATATTTACTGTTTCCTATGTAATCTAATAAATTTTTAAATTACGTCCTTCATTTAAAAATGTTTGCTTCATGTAACTAACTTTTAAAGTCACCTTGAAAGTCTATTATTTTTCGTCAAATTTCTTGTATTTATAAAACGATTTTACATTAAAATTTTTTTTATTCTGATTGAAATTGAAAGATAATTTTTTTTTTTTTTTTTAACAGGCACCAATATTTCCACTGGCGAAGAAGTTGCCATAAAATTGGAATGTATTAAAACACGGCATCCTCAACTTCACATAGAATCGAAATTTTATCAAATGATGCAAGGCGGTGGTAAGTAATTTTAAGTTAATTCTTAGATAAAATTTAGTTTTAATATTTGTTATTTATGTATTTATTAAATTGTAGTTGGGATACCAACGATAAAATGGTGCGGATCTGAGGGTGATTATAATGTTATGGTCATGGAACTGCTTGGACCATCCCTCGAAGACCTCTTTAATTTTTGTTCTAGGAGATTTACATTAAAAACAGTTCTCCTTCTTGCTGATCAATTGGTAAGTATTTTCTTTTTTTTTTTAAATAAACTAATTACTGCATAGGATAGATTTTCAGTTAAAATTTGTATAGAAGATTTTTTTTTCTCTTCTCGATTGTACTTATGACTTATATACAGTGGCTTCTTCAATTATAATTCACGGTCCAGTAAATTTCTCATCCCTTTTGATTTGACTGAGACAATTATCAGAAGCAACGACCTCGAAAGATGTGTCACAGACCGTATCTCATGCTCATCTAACCATAGCCAACATATAAAAATTTGCACATAAAGACTCATGATACTTTATCGATTTAAATTAAAATAATACAATATGCTTTTTTTTTAATCAGATAAGCAGAACGGACTATATTCACAGTCGCAACTTCATTCATCGGGATATAAAACCTGATAATTTTCTTATGGGACTAGGAAAGAAAGGAAACCTCGTATACATTATAGACTTTGGACTTGCGAAAAAGTATCGAGATGGCCGAAATAACAAGCATATACCATATCGGGAAAACAAAAATCTTACCGGCACAGCAAGGTAATTAAAAAAAAAATAATAATAATCCTTTTTCAAATAATTATTTATGTACTTTCTTTTTTTGCAGATACGCTAGTGTAAATACGCATTTAGGAATCGAACAATCTCGTAGAGATGATCTTGAATCATTAGGCTATGTTCTTATGTACTTTAATCGAGGCAGTTTGCCCTGGCAAGGATTAAAAGCGGCTACCAAAAGACAAAAATATGAGCGAATTTCAGAAAAGAAAATGTCTACTCCCATTGAAGACTTGTGCAAAAGTTACCCGGGTAATTTTTTTTAACATAATAATAATAATTAATATTTACTATTTTTAATAATAAAAATTATTTTTAGCTGAATTCACAACGTATCTGAAATACTGCAGACAATTACGTTTTGAAGAAAAGCCGGACTACTCGTATCTCCGGCATCTATTCCGAACTTTATTTCACAGCCAGGGCTTCACGTATGATTATGTATTTGACTGGAATTTATTGAAATTTGGAAGCGCGAGGCAACCATCTTTGCCTTCGTCGCAACAAGCACCAACGCATTCGCAACCAACCAATGCTCCTCTCCCCTCTGGGACCAATAATGATCAAGATCATAGAGCAAGGTATATTAATTTAAAAATCAAAAAATTTCTATTAAAATATTATTAATTAATATTTAGAAAAAAATTATTCAAAAATAACTATAATTTTAGACCTTATACGCGACAAGGACTGGCGAATGCTTCTGGTGCAGCAGTGGGTTCAACAATGGTTTATGCTGGTATTCCCGAGCGAAAGACAAAACTCCAACACAATCCTGATATTCGTGGTGACCAGGACAATCAGGACAACCCAGGTAAAAAGCAAGCATACTACTCCAAATTCTTTGTGAATGAACAACAATCGGATCACAAAGTGCACCAATCTCAGGAAAGTGCAGCCTGTGAGACGTCGAAATTAAATCTTGATAAATTTAGTTCTTTTAATAAAACCTCACCCGATAATAAAGCCAATCCCGCAAATTGTCCAGACATATCGTGTCTCAGTTTGGAGCATCACAAAATAACTCGAAAACATTCAAACTATAGTTCTCAACGATCTCGCGATCATTGTTTTCTTCCTTCATCAATTGATAAACAGAGTCATTCTTTTCATGGTTATAAAACTGAAAATGATAAAGATTTTGATACTTTAGAAAAAGACAAACATTGTTCAGAAATGAGTAAAAGTGAGATAAATAACGCGAAAAGATTGTCATTTAGAAAAAAGAAAACATTAGATTCAATAGATGATGCAAATGCAAAAAGCTTGTATTTTTTACCCGATGACACACCTGAATTACATCATGAGAATCAACAAATTTTAAATTCTTCAGATTCAAAAAAAGAAATTAAAATATCTAAACCGGGTCTATTTCAAAGAATAAGTCGTAATTTAAATTTTTTCACTAAAGACATTGATTCAAATCAAGAAAATTCCAAGAGAGAAAATACAAATGCACCATTAACAGCAACTGAAAGATGTGAATATTATTGCTCGCAAGTCTATCCCAAGGATCAGGTTTTTTTAGACGAATATCCCATTCTACGGAATGGACAAGAGCTGATGAAAATGAACAATTGGAATCAAAACGAAAAGAATCAAAATGTGAAAAATCTAAATATGATAATGAGAAGGGAAAAAATGAACGATTGTCAATTAGAAGAAGAAAATCAGAGGACGATGTTTTGGGAGATGTTCCAAGAGAAATCCGAGAACGAGAAGAAGTCATACATGAATTACAGCGTCGATTACAGCGACAGAGATTGTCTAACGCACGTGACAACGAGTGGAAACAAAGACAGTCTCGAGATTGGATATTCAATAAGTCAACTGGGGACGTATTGCCTTCGGAATCCGAACAATTTGGAAAATATACAAGTGACCGAGACAATGACGGCAGGAGAAAGTTGGGAACGGTGCCTAGGGTGGATCACAAAAGTCGACTTGGACGCTTTGAGTCAAGGAACAAATTCAAGTGATTCTATTGGTCACGCGAAACCTCAAGGAAAACTTGATATTATTAAAGGAATTCTCTTGGATATATTTGTCTGTATATGTTTTTAAGAATTTTTTTTTTCGAAATATTTGACAATCTCCGTCAAAGTCTTTAAGAGAACATAGACTCGTGATGCTCCACTGAGATTCTGATTTGATTTCAGTAAATTATATTTTAAGGAATTTATACATTTACTATTATTTGTATTTTAAACTGCGTATATAATATTTTATAATTTTTTTGTTCTACGGTTATATTATGTATTATTTACAGTATCGTGTTTGTATTTAGTTTTTTTTTTTTAATTTGAATAAGCTTTCTAGCTTTATATTTTTTTTCATTGCTACATTTTCAAGATATTTTTTCATTTTTAAATAATACAATTTTTTTCAATAACAGTTAAAATTGATTTTGGATCTTGAAATATATATTTTTTTTATAGTATTTTTTTATGTGAATGAAAAATTATTATTTGAGAGACTCTGCACGAAAATGTGTGTGTGTGTGAGATATTTGTCTACCATTTTTCAATCATTCCCTTAATTAATATTTTGATTTATTGAATTTGAAAAAGAAAGGAATTTATGCTTTTAATTTCAATATTCGTAAAAGATTATAAAAATGAATAATATCGATGCAGTTAATTATATTTATGTAGTATTTTTCTTATTTAATAATCAGTACTTTATCATTTTTATTTGCTTGGTATTTAGTAAATGTGCAATTTGAATGATTTTGAAAAATTACAGTGTCAAATAGAAGATAATTATTATATTTGCATATGTGTGTATGTGGGTGAGTGAGTGTGTGAGTGTGCGCACATAAAATATACAGTGCAGTCAGTGAAGTAGTAGCCTTTTTATGATTGCATTTTTTTTTGCTTGCATTCACACTTTCATTGGCTATTATTTAACAGACCATACTTGTATATATGTATATACATATAATTAAAAAAACATACCTATGCTTTAAAATTCCGTTGAATAAACTATTCAAGTTTCTCATTTTCTTTTTTTTTAAAAAAGAAACTTCAAAAATCAAATGCAAGGATAGTTTTCAGTGGAATTTTGCAACTGATGATGTTTTTTTTTTTTTTGATAGATATTTGGAAACAAACTTTAGCTAACTAGAAACACTGTTTTATTCGTATTAATGCCATAGATAAATAAATGTTTTTCCATTCAAGGATTGGCCTTTTTTTATTTCTGTGTAATACCACTCTTGATTATTTTACATCCATGTCAAAATTTCTTCAACAATTTGGCTTGAATGGAAAAACCGGAAAGCTTTCATCATTTTTTTTGGGTTTAATGCAAAATAATTAATATAGTGAAAAATTTTCTGTGATATTTTTTTTTATTCTCACACATTATATATTTTATTGCGACATATTTATTATTTTACATTTAGATTATTCGTTTCATTTTATTTTAATGACCAATAGTGAAAGATAGTCGTTTTTTCACCAAAAAAGAAAAACGAAAATGCTTTTTGAAAATTAATATACTAATGCCTTCATTTGCTTACTCATTATAATAGCATTTGAATTATTTTGTTGCAAATTATTGCTTTTTTTTGCACATTTTGACGGACGTGATTTTTCATTACGTGATATGTTACGTTACACACGAAATATAAATTAGAAGTTCATTGACATTCAACGGAAATATGGTATAAATTATTATTGCACTGCTGCTTGTAATTAACATTTATAAATTTGTAATGTTATGAAGATTTAAGAAAGTTGAATTTAATAAATTCAAAAAGAAATATTTATAAATCACAGTGCACAGTAAAAAGATTTTATCGATGAAAAGTTGATTTTTTTTTTTAAAAAGAGGTGAAGGATAAAGAATGGTGGGTATGATGCCTAAAGTATATTTATAATTTTTTCAAAGGCTGCAATATTATTTTTAATTTAAAAAAAAAAATTGTTTAATATAGACCTAAAGTTTGTTTTCAAAAATCATCAAGTTTAAAATTATTCTAAATTTGCAGGAAATTAATGAGCTCTAGATAAATTTATTTAAAACGATTTTTCATGATTTATTTCAGCAGCAGGAACTGGTGGCCAAGAACGAAGGTTCAGTAGGAGATTACATTGTAGTAATGCCACAGCTGTTGATAAACCTCCTAGATCCAAGTGAGTTTCTATCATTAACTAATAAAGTAATTTAAATTATTTTAATTCTCCTCAAAGAATTTAAAAAATTTGTAAATTATTAAAAACTAAAAAATTAACTTTTAACACGAATTCTATCTGAAATTATCTATAATCTAATATTTAACGCTTTTAAAAATAATTAAAAATATTGTCAATTTGACAAAAAAAAAATTATCTAAAATTCCTTTTCATTATTCTCTCATTTAATTTTGCAGGTAAATGGAATGCTAAGAATCTAAATTAGATCACAAAGTAGGCAAACAAAAAAAAAAAAGAGAAAAAGAAGGGTAGACATTTTATCATTGTGGTGCTCGTGTTGTTCATGTGCAACGATAGAGCTTTACGAGCATTCCCTCTTTCTCAGGATCTACATTCTTTTTTTTAAGATTGTAAATCTTAACACACACACTCTGAATGAGTCGATGAAACGAACAAATAAAAGGTTTTCGCCTCTATTATTTCATTAAAAAAAAAAAAAAAAAAAATATTTGAAGTAAAATTGGTAAACCCTCTTGGGTTTAATTAGTGTAAATTTAACATAATATCATACTGGCGAAATTCCTCAAGTACTCAATCCAAGGTAAACTACCTTACAAAACTATATTCTTATTTTTATTGTACAAAATCGTTTTTTTGTGAGTTTTAGTTACCGATACTTAAGACTGTTTAAAAAAAAGTACGGTTATTGTTATATAAATTCTGCTGATGATAATGAAAATGAAGATTATGATTATAATAATCATAAACGTCGACGATAATGATGATGATGATTTTGATGAAGAAGAAAGTTGGTGATAAAGATGATAATGAAGATGATGATAAGAATAACAATACTGATAATAATAACTATTAAAATTTTATAATAATAATAATATTAATAATAGTAGTAATAAACAATAATACTTTTATACAGCATTAAACACATACATTCTAGAATTTTAACTTGTAAAACATTAGATTTGAGGGTAAGGTAAAATTTTAAGCCTACGAAATTTTTATTGAAAAAAAATTGTTTTTTTTACATAAAATGAAAGTCGAGAGATGCTAAATGGTTTTTTTTTTGGCAAAATTATGTTAGTTATACACTATCATTTGAAAAATCGATAGTTTTAATATTTAAAAGTATATACATGTAACAGCTAAAATAAATTGAGCCAAGTGTTAAAAAAAAAAAAATAAGAATTTAAATGTCTTGGATTGGTAAAGTCATTCTTTAGTATTTTCGCCGGCTAAAAAATTTTAAACGACGAAAAAGAGGGAAATGCTGTGTGCAGATTATTAATAAATAAAAGAAAAATTGAATCGAGGTGAAAAAAAAACGGACAGCAGTGTGTTAATCTATCGATTGTGTGTACTACTATTTGTTTTGGAAGTGACAATGTGACGACAAAGGTTCCATCCATCCTGATTGATGGCTGAAAACGTCCTATACAAAAAAAAAATGCGAATAAAGGAGTTACCGCCAGATTGGCAGCTGTTGAAAATCGACACTTGTCCTTTTTTTTTTTTTTTAATCAACAAATTAAAGTGTCATGATCGAGAAATATAAACTTTGAAAGATTCTTAAGAGGTTTCTATTATAAGTGTAATTGAATTGAACGTTTAACGGAAAAACAAATTGCAATTAAATACATAAATATCTTAGCACATATAAATAGCTAAGTAGATAGTTATAGATAGATAGGTAGGATCCATTCTTCTCCTGTCCTAACCATAATTTTTATACGATGATTCAACCCACGAGACAAAAGAATTATTATATGTCTATAATAAATTCGTTAAAATTTTGTTTGATAAAAATTATTGTTTATCGTATAAAAAAAACGCATAATTTCCATTTTTTTTTTAATGGACATTTTTGTTGGAATATAATTCTAATTCATTTTGATAAATTTTTTTAACTTTTTCATATTGTTATTCATCTTTATTTTCTAAAAAAAAAAACAACATCTTTTTAGCATTAAAATTTAATAATGAATGTAAGATATTTTCTTTTGAAAAATAATTATGAAAAAAGGATTCATAAAATTATTTGTATAGATATATGATGAAAGGAGAAAAAGAAACAATTATTGTGTTCTACGTGTCCAGTGTGGTACTATTCTCTACGTGTGTGTAATATCATGTCGTATTGAACCAATCTTCGATCTCTGTGCAATTGTTATTTTTTATTTAAAAAAAGAAAAAAACTTGAAATGGAAATAGGAAAATGATCGTCGAATCGCACCAACTATTTGTACATTTAAAAAATATTAATATCGTGTTTCATTAAAATTGGCATTTTTAAACCCAAGGATTGAAAACGATATATGCTAAATACCTATTTTCTAAAGGGTTTTTTTTTCTACATTTGGGAAATTATTTAAAAACTTTGTATATGTATTACAAAAAAAATTTTCAAATTCTGCAAAGAAATAATATTATTTAGTTTCTTTTTTCATTTATAAATGTGTAAAGAAAATTTTTTTACTGATATTAAAATTTAGGAACTTTAATTTTTATTTTAATAAATATTAGAAATCCCATCTTTGATTCTATTAATTACTTCGATTAATAAAATTACATATAACTCAAGCTCTTTTTGAAAAATAACACAACCTCTATTAAAATTAAAAAAAAAAAAACGTGATAACTATTATACGTTGTATGTACGTCCTACATGCACAGAAAGTACTAATTTCATTCTTCTTTAAAATTTAATCAAGTTTGAATCAAAATTTCTTCCTGTCTTTTTGGACAATTTTCATTAACTAAAAAAAAAAGAAGAATAAAAGTTAACTCATGTCAAAACATGAAGACACTGCCAGCACGCGGCACGATGTCCAATTTTTATTTCGTGTCACGTGTACTTCATTCCAAATATTTGATTTACTTTTACAAACATGAGATTTCTATTGCATTTTTTAAAAAAAATTTATAAACTAAGAAGACAGAAGAAATTCAACTCTTCGCACTTTATTAATAAAAAAATGAAGAATGAATTTTCCTAAAAAGATTGGTATTGTAATTATATGTGAGAAATGTTCAACAAACATTGGAAAAAGAAAAATTATAAAAAGAATTTTTCCATAATTGCTTTGGAAAATCATTTCCAAGAGAGGCGTTTCTGTGAAATTTACAAAAATCATTAAATAGATTTTTTAACGACAAAAATTTTACCGCTCTTCGACCCTGATTATTATGTATTCTGACACCTTTCTAATTGTCTTGTAACATAAGTTATGAGATTTTAAATGAAAAGCAAAGTCGTACAAAAACTAAAATAACAATTAATATTATGGTATTATTGTAAAATGTGATGCGATTGAAAATTAATCGAAATTTTGTAATTTCATTATTTTTAAAGTATAGAAAGCGATTTAATGTGAACTGATCCGGAGATAAAATAATAAAAAATACATATATTTTTACCATTTTCTTCTAAATGAAAAAAAAAAAATGATAAAAAGCGTTTGTTTTATCGAGTAAAACTAAAGTTAGAAATTTAAATTCGATCTCGTCTATTTTATTTGAAATTCAGTTCACATAAAATCGCTCGTATACATCAAAGGACGTACACACATACTTTAGTCCCTTCTTATACTGAGAATAATATAAAAAATTAATGTGTCAAATATTTGTGCACACTGATTTCGAGAATTTTTTGATCACAAAATTAGATCAAACAAAAATTAATACTTAAAACTTCAATCTGACAAAGATACAACAAACATCTCAGTTCAGAAAGGCCTTAAGTAATCAAAACTTTTGATTGAAGTTAACAATTCCTACATCAATATAAGACAAAATATGTCAAACAGAAATGCCTAATGATTAATAATAATATTTAGTCCTTTGTACTAGGGACGATAATTTTGAGAATATTGAAAATGCGTGCCTAGGCGTTCTTTTTTTTGTTTTTTGTTTTTTTTTTTTTTTTTTTTTTGCAAAGAACTGAATCGAAAAAAAAGATCCGCAAGTGTAAGAAAAATGTGAGGTTTAGCTTATATGTATATACAATATTATTCTAATCACATATTTACGACGAGAAAAGTTGTATATGTGGGGACGGGGGGAATTGATAATGGAAAAAAAAATGACGAAAGAGGAAGAAATTTTAAATATTTGATTTACAAAAAATAGAAAACAATTGAGTCTTTTCCTGAATATATAATTATTTGATAATTATTTTTGAATATCAGATTTCTTTCTCTTTCGTTAAATAATGGTATGTAGTTTAAAGAATGCTTATATGAATGCGAACAATCCATTTATTAAAAAACGGAATCATGGAAGATTGGTACTGACAAAATAAATAATTTTTTTTCAGTTTCTTTTTTTTTTTTTTTAAAAAAACATGGCACGACAATTTCAGTACCGCATCACATCCAATTCCGTAAAGTCTAGTAAAAAAAAAAAAATAAATAAATAAATAAAGAGAGCGACGAATTTTTGAAATGAAAAAAAATTATTGTTATTTATTAATCCTTTTCTCATATAAACATTTTATAAACTTTTCTCAAATACATAATGATTTATTAATAGAATAATTATACTTATGTTGATAAAAATCCTCCATCAACTGGCAAAGCAATTCCATTTATCATTGAACTATGATCACTTAATAGAAAAATAATAGCATCCACAACTTCATGAACTTCTATAAAGTGAAAGAAAATAAAATTAGAAACTAGAAAAATTTTAAATAAATATTAATATACTTTTACCAGCAAAACGACCAAGAGGAATTTTTCGTAACATTCCCTGAGCTTTTTCAGGATTACTCCATCCAAGTCGACCCATTTCTGTTAAAACTACAGTTGGATTGACAGAATTAACTCGAATATTATGAGGTCCAAGTTCAAGTGCCATATTTCTAATGTTATTAATATTTATTATTATAGATTTTAAATTATTAGGAAATACCTGCTTAGTAAGTTATTTCGTGTAATCAAATTTTAATATTACCTAGTTAACATTTGCAAAGCTCCTTTAGACGCACAATAAACTGAATGATCTTGAAGAGCTGCTTCACTTGCTTGAGAAGATAAATTTACAATGCTTCCAGATATTTTTCTTTTTATTAAATCATTTGCTACTATTTGCGAGACATTCATCACTGCCTTGACATTGACATCAAAGGTAATATCAAAATCTTCTGGAGTTGCTTCAAGAAAAGGTTTTAAAAATGCTACTCCAGCATTATTAACCAGTAAATCAATTGGTAAAACATTTTGCACAGCTTGTTTTGTTTCATTCCAATTTCTTAAATCCACACATACTATTTTAATTTTTGGATCTTGTTTTATTAAATTATCCAAGTATTGTTGAGTTCTTGATAAAGCAATAACCGTTGCTTTACATTGTGAAAGCCGAAGACTTAAATCCTTTCCAATTCCTAAAACATATTAAAATTAATTATAAACAAAAGAAAATAATAAATTTTTTTTTAATACCTTGACCAGCTCCAGTAACGAGAATACGCTTTCCTTCAAAATTGATGTTCATTGCGGTACAGATAACAAACTACTGGCAAATACACTATCAGTCCTTTTTTTATTTCTACATTGCTCCAAAAATTTTTTATGTTTCTAAAAAAAATTAAATTATAAACATTAGATAAATTAATTTTAAAATACTACTTAAATATTAATAGATATTTTAAGATTATAAATAAATTTTCTCTTATAATTAATGTTACAATTATTTATCATTAATCTGTGATGACTTATCTTAATAACTCTTACAATAATATACATATATATTACACACACACATACATCCATACTCATACAGATAATAAATATACGCAAGCGCAATGATTCTGAAAAATCGTCAGTGACTACCGCCATGTTAGTATTCGATGACAGTCAATGACAGTTCTAAACGTAGTACATAATGGTTGAAATAAATAAACACTAAATAGTAAATAAAAATGTGATAATATCGAAGAATAATAGCCAAATTAGGTATGTTTGATTAAAAATTAATTATAAATATTTTTGGAAAAAATTTAAAATTTTAATATTGAAATTAAATTCTTATATGGTCCTTATTTCAATTTTGTAGAATTTAGATTAATTATTTAGTATTTATTTATTTAATTAATTTCTTTAATTTTATTTGTCATACCTTTTTCAGGTATTAATAAAATTAAATAAAAAAAGGATGGGAGAGACTTTTTTAGGAAATGGAGGATTACTTCATCGAGCTTTATTATTTATGTTAAAACTTGGATGGAAATCACGTTTTCGATTACCTATAATTATCATAATTACTTTTATTGTAATGGATATAAGAATGCATTTGGAAATGGAAATAGAGTATTGATCCATTGGAAAGGACAATTATTAAATCTAAGTATATAGATAATATTGTAAATTTTAGAATAAGGAAGTTAATAAGTTAATAAAAAAAAAAGTTATTTTAAATATAATTTTATTTTAAAGCTATTTATCCAGATAGTAGAACATTTTTCTAGAACTTTATTATTTACAAACTAAATATTGTGCTATCTGGATATTATCTCTTCTTTTATTTCGATTAACTCAAGTTCAAAAAAATTAATTTAAAAAAATAATTTTAATATATTTAATAGAAAATCATTATGAAATAGAAAATAAATTGAGAAAATATAACAATCGGTTGGAAAAAATAAGGAATATTCTCATATATTTTTTTTATTCTTTTATAAGGTTATACAACTTTATAACATTAAGGCAATGGTAAGCATTCCGCCAGAGAAATGGAACGGAATTAATTTTAAATAAATTCATTTCAAATGTTGGTTGACTTCAATTGAAATATTGCATCTTATATGACATTGTATTGCTAATTTATATAATATATATATAATGTTTCAAAATATCTTTTACAAATTTCAGTACATTTTTAAAATTATTCCCTGCTTAAAGTAAAATAATTTGTCTGTTTAGCTCTTTTGAATACATTTGGCGATAAAAAGTCTTATGAAAGTCAACTAAATAAGTACTTAGCATTTATTGAAAATTTCTATTTTGATTTTTCATTTGAATTCGAATTTTATGAAACCTAAGAAATTTTCAATAAGAACTACTATGCGTGATACACCTTTAAAAAAAAGGATTATAAGTAAAAAAAAAAAAAAAAAACCTTTCATCGTTTTATAAATGTATCACAAAAATAATGAAGATTTCGTAAATTAACGCATAAACATAATTTACAAATAGTATTTGAATAGTACATATTATAAGAAACTCTCAATCGACATCAGACCTAAACTGAACTAATTATTTCCTCTATTCAAATCTACATATAAAATTGCAAATGTATAATACAAATTACCGTATACAGAAGCTATACAGAAGCACGATTAGCGGTAATTTACATTATTAGTTTTTACGCTTAAATTTAATATAACTAATAATTATATTTCATTATATTTCGACTAAAGTCATTAATTAATTTAAAAAAAAAAAATTGAAACAAAGTTTGTTTAGTACGAAATAAAAATAATTATATTAAAAAATTTCTCTTAAAACATGATTTTATATTTTAAATGATGACTTTTGTCGAAATATAAATGACGGAATAATATTAGCCAAATTATTTTTCATGCATACAATTTATAATACGTGTCACACAATCACACAAACAGACATACACACATATTACATTAAATATCTTAGGTAACATACAATAGATTTTTTTCAAATTTAATTTGAAAGAAAATTTTTGAAATTAATTTTTTTTTTATTTATCTAAAAATGAATAACTTTTATATTTGAAAATTGGAAGATATCAAGCCAGCAAGAAAAATACGATTATCTCAAGCATACAAAAATAAATTACAATATAATAATAATAATAATAATAATTATAATAATATTTTTATATATGTAGACTATTATAGAGTTGTGAATACTATGAGATATTTGTATATATTTTTCAGGATTTCATATTTAATAAAAATATTCTTTATTCTTCGAAACTGTATTGTAAAAAAATTATTCTTTTTTTTGTATTATGTAATTAACTATTTACAATTAAAAATTTTAATCTAATACAATTCTTTCATTTAACATCTAGAATTTAATTCTAGAATATAAGTTTAATTGTAAATTTTTTCTTTTCGACCTACATGAATTTCCTGAAAATTGGAAGCGTATATTTAAGACAACAGTAAGTTGGTAGAGTCGATCGATAATTAATTTTTTCAAAGTGCAGAATTTATGAAAATGTAATATTAATTAGATTATATATTATATTGAAAAATATATATTTTTTTTATTGCATCTTTCTTTGTTTCTAGTTAGTTTGATCTATTAATAACTCCTCCAATACGGTTTATTCCAAATATACATATTTCCTTTATGTCAAAAATCAAAATAAATCTGCATGTTTTTAGTAATATAATAAAATTGCAATGATCAGAATTTTATAATAAAATTACGCTTCATTGTATTAAGTAATGGGAAAAAGCCGTAGGAGAGTTAGAGTGCTCTAAATTTGAATCAGTGAGAAAGTAACTGATTATACCAGTGACTGTACATACATAACTAGTTCATTCACTGCTAACCAGTGAAAACTCATTGACTCATATTCAGACAGTTTGTATATGTATAAAAATTAATGGCACACCCATAAGAGTGACGAAGCTTGTTGAATACAAACTGAATACTCTCATAAAAAGGCACTTGATACACTTTGAAACCAAAAAATTTTCAAAAGAATCCAAAATTATAATTTTCAATTATTCTTTTTGTTTATAAATAAAGAATTTTTTGTGTATAATAAAAAATTATTAGGTCATCATTTTAAAAAGTGACAATTTGAACGTTTTAAAATCGAACAATAAAATAAAAAGATTCTAGAGTACATATATTATTAATATATATAATCTTTCACTTGTTTAAATATCAATAAAGTAAAAGCTAAAATATACATGGACGCAATACGACAATTTATCGTATTATTTAGTTTTATTTACAAGAGATGTTATTCTAAAAAAAAAATTGCTGCGTTTTCAATTATATATATATGAAAAATATATGCTGCCTCTCTAAGACGATTATTCCAACAAAACTGATGGAAAACACCTGTTACAGGTACATTTTTTAAAAAATAATCTACCGTTCGTTGCTATAATATGCTTTGGCTGAAGCAATTTACCTGTGAATTTTTTAAATTCATTTATATAAAACGAATATATTTTCATTTATATTAAAAGTAAATTTGATTTCTTACCTACGTAGATTAAAATGACGTGGAAGGCGAATTAAAGATTTTTGCAAAGAACTGACACGACTAGAAGTGATGCTAATAAAAACATTATTGGTTGTGATGAAGATGCTCCATTTGGTCCTGCAAAAAATTACATATTTTTAATATTCGGCTCATTTTGATAATTAAATATTATTAAATAATAAATTTAGAACTTACCGATTCCTGCTTTTTGCAAATTATATCCTGTAAAAAAGAAAAAAATAAATGTATTATATCCATTGGAAAATTCTTATTTGAATAATTATAATGAATTTACAAACATACCACTTTCAACATCATTTGACATCAAAGGCATTGCTAAAACAAAAATTAAGTTCACAATTAGTAAAACTTTCTCTTTCTCTTTTAAATATAAAATTTAAAAAATATAATTATAATTATTTTTTTTTATAAAATATAATTTTCGATATTTTCAGAATATTAATAAAAATGTGAACTTAAATAGAATTTAGTTTATTATTTTTAAATTTCTTTAAAAAGAAAATAATTTTTTTCCTCTATATTTGTTCTTTTATTTTGTTAGTGGTTAGTTTGTTAATTTATGATTCATTATAATTAATATAAAATAAATTTTAAAAAAATCAAAACTTACGTCCTTCAATTGATTCTGCTATCGAATATTCGGACCAACCGAATTTATTTTGTGATCTAAGTTCAAAATGGTATGTATCAGGTTCCAAATTATGAATAGCGTGTTCAGCAATATATTTATTGACTTCATTTCCGGAAATAACTCTATTAGGCTTCTCTACTATCCAGTCACTGTTTTCATTTTTGCGATACCTCAACTAAAAAGAATATATATATTTTTTTAAAAATAAATTCAAAATTAGAAATTAAAATAGTAAAAGAAATGTCTTTACTTCATAACCGGTAATGGGTGAGAAACTTTCAACTTCCCACTTGAGAACAATAGTTTTATCATCATCTTTTAAATAACGTTCAAAGAATCTAGCTCTTGAAGGAGATCCTAAAAGGAAGAGAAAAATAATTAGTAAATATATATATAAACACTAGTTTACAGAAATATTTTTTTCTTTTACCAGTGAGTTCTACTTCTTTTTGATGAGTTCCCAAAACATTACTTGATCTACAAAGATATTTTCCAAAATCATGTTTTTGAATGTCCTTCAAGGTAAGATTATGAATATGTTTGCCATCTTTAATATCAATATGATTTGAATTGGAAATTAATTTTGAAGCATCTCCTTCTTTTTTGTACCAAGAAATATTTGCAACTGGAAAAGCATGAACAACACATGTTAAATTTGCAGTTTCTCCAATTCCACTGTGAACATATTCATGTAAAACCTCTACTTCAGGAGCATCTGCAAATAAAATAAAAATGTTAATTTCCCTTTTTATTGACTTTTAATTAATAATAAAATAAATTTTCAATTATCAATATTTACATCGAACTGAAACATCAATAACATTATGAAGAGGATCTCTTCCTGGACCAAAATCTGCCAAACATTGATAAAATCCAGCATGATGTCTGGTAGCGTGTTTTATGTGAACTTGAGCCATTTTATTTTGTCTCAATGTCGGATGCAATTTGTGACTCTGCAAGATAAAATATTTTATTTTATTAAATGAAAATTAATTTATTTTCTAGAAATTAGAAACTTACTCCATGAGTCCAGATAAGAGAAACAGGATCTTCTTTACTAACAATATTGCAACTCAACATTATATCTTCTCGTTCATTAACTGTAACTGATTTTCCAGGTGATATTTTCAATGTTTGTTGATTGTTACTAACACGAACAGTATATGTGACATTATTTGGATTATTTTCAATTGCAGCAACATTCAATTGACACACATAAGTTCCACTATCTTCAATTCGTGCATTTTTAATCACAAGACTGTTATTGTGAGTTCTGCTTATTCTCATTTTGTCCGATTCATCTTGAATTAAAGAAGCATCACCAAAAAATAATACATCATTGTCGCCTTTAATTTTTCTATTCCACGTTACCACTGGATCATCTAAAAATAAAGAATTATTATTATTATTATTAATTATTCAATTTAAAACATTTTTAATTGCAAAAACTTATTTACCTCCATTAACTGTTTCACAGGGTAGAATTATTTGTTCATCAGGAAAAACTTCAATAGTTGAATCTTTCGATATCAATCGAATTGGTTTACTATTTTCTTCCTTTGGATTATTAGTTTCAGAATCATCATCATCATCATCGTCAGGAGTGTCGTCTGCATAGTCCGCAGTTTTAACATTTGGGTATGAAAAACCTAAAATTATAAAAATACAAAATTAATATTCATAAGTATAATAGAAAATACTTAAAAATATTAGATTTTAAAACCTCGGATCTGATTTAAAGGCATAACAAGCATTTCTAATAATACCACACCCTATGTGTTATAACCACCCTTCAAGTTTAAATACAACTCCTGCTATTTTATTTCATCCTGTTTAAATTTTATTTGCGAGTCTTTTAACACAATTATTCTTTCTTCTTAAATAGGAAAAAAAAACACTTTGTAATGAAAATGAAGGAGTTGAACGCCCAACCTTTAGGTTTCATGATTTTTTTAATCACACCACACCTTTATTAAAAAAAAAAAAAAAAATAGGTCAAATTGTTACCAACACGTCACTTATCACTTGGCCTTTAAACTTTATCCAAATGAAGTCAATAAATTTATCTAGCCTATAAATTTATCTATAACCTATTAATATATTGGCTCCATCAGGAAATGACGAACGGCGTCAAAAAAAAAAAAAAATGGCCAATTTTCAATTTTATATAATATAAATCTAATTATTAACAATTATTAACATTTATAAATAAATTCACCATAGATAAATTTCTTAAACAAACTGCAAATGTGATTAAAAGAGATAAAAGATTTAGGTTAATGGATCTCTAGACAAGCGTGTTCAAGGTTTCTACCCTTATGAAAATATAACTTTTCCACTTTATTCAGTCTCAACGATGACTCAATCCCAATTCAGTCTCCACGCTATACAAACTATTATATAGATATAGTAATAAATCTATTTTCTTTTACGTAAGATCTTATATATCAAAAAAAAAAAATCGCGGAAAAAAAATTTAACACCGGAAGTGAGTAAATCTCTTTTTCTAATTTTATAATTCCTTTTTCTACAATCTTGTAGAGTATAAAATTTTAATTCTGAAAAATTTTAAATTTAATTTAAATTAAATTTTTAAATTGAAATTGAAATTAAATTTTTAAATTGAAATTTAAACTCCCACGACTTCATAGCAAATCAGAATCTGATAAAAAAAAATGCAAACTTTCAATATATTCTATAAAATTGAATTGAGTAGTCTATTATAAAAAATTTCCCTCTATTTTGGACACGTGCGTGTAAGTGTGCGCATTCAGATTACACCCACACACATACAAACATTCATCTCTTTATATATACTTCCGGAAATGTCCCTTTTCAATTGATTTAGGGGAGTGAAATACCAGACCTAACTTCTAAGTTATTGCTAACAATTTGTCAGGCTAAGCAACTGTCATATTTTGAGGCTTTCCTTTTGAAAACAGAGCAGATTATTTTATTTATGTATAAATATTTCCTTTTTTCAATGGTAGAGAAAAAAATTTTACTGTTAAAGTAAAAAAAAAAGTGATATAAAAAAAAAAGATTCACTTTTTTTGCAGTTTGAAAAAATATTTTCAATTCAAAAATTTGTAATTCCGGTTTCAATGTTTGAAATAATAAAACCAATAAAGGAACATATATTGAGCTTACATTTAGAATTGACGTTTAGAGTGAAAATCTCTTAAGCTGTAAGTTATGATTTGAATTTATATACACACACCCTGAAAAATAAACCACCCTCCATGAGACTGAGTCTAATCCTTGTGTCACATAACGTATATTAATCGCATATGTTATAGGGCAAATGTGCAGTTAGCTTTATTCTTTTCAAAACAAAATATCTTCATTTCAAATTTTTCAGTTAATTCCAGTTATTCGTCAAATGTAAATTTAATATTTTACAATTACAAAAAAAAAAAATACTTTTAAACGACAAATTTATACATGCGTTTACTTTTTGCATATTTTATGCACATGTGCAATTTAATTCCGTATGAAATTTAATTCCACATGTGTAACTAAATACTAAATAAGAGTGAAATATATCACACCAAGATATGCTTCCAAGGACCGCGTAATCTGACTGTTGAGCCAGTCAGGATAATCAAAACACAAGTCTAACAATTTTTTTTAACAATAAAAAATTAAAAATTTAGAAAAAATTTTACTGAATTATTTTTTTTTCGCCTTTTTGTTATCAAGGTTGAGAAAAAAAAAAATTCAAAAATCGGCTATTAACAAATAAATATTTCAATTTCAAAAAAATTATTTCAAATACTATTTATTTAATAAAAAAAAAATTATTTGGTTCAAGTAAATAATTATTTGATAGTCGTTTATTTGAATAAATTAAATATTTTTCTAGATATACGTATAACAAAAGGTGGAATTATTGCAGGCAATATGAATTAAATTTTATTAACGGTCATTCTGGTAGACGCACATACATAGAATGTATGATATGAGTGCGTCAATAAATATAAGTTCATTTAATTAAACTGAGTTTGCTTCAAGCAGTCCTCTCAGTCAAGACAAATTTAACAGTTGAAAAGATATAATAAGATTGTGCAAATAAAGTTCTTTGGATTTTGTATCAAAAAAAAAAATATTCCCGAACTTAAAAATATAGATTTCGACATTTAAAATTATAATAATTGAATTTTTTTTCACATAAAAAACTGATATGTGATGTAATTATGTAAATGAAAGAAAAAAAGAAAGAAATTCTCTAACAAAATGGTCAAGAGCCTTGTTGCAAAATTGTACGTAGGCAGAAAGCAAATATTTAATGAATTCCTTAAATAAAGGACCCTACAAAAAATGTATATACAAAATTTCGATTTTTTTAATATTGAAAATCTTTTTCAATTTTAATCCACAAAAATTGATCAAATTCTCCAAATTTCGATAAAAAAAAACCGCATTTTTCAAAAAGAGAATTGTTATACCAAAAATAGTTATGAAAACAAATTAAAATTAATTTCTATATATAATTAGTTATTATAAATTCACATGTCATAATTCGAATCTAATATTCCTGCCATGATTTTAGCAGAGTAGAATATCTAACACAATTTTAACGTCATACTGCCGGAGAGAGTTCGACGACCTAAAATAAATGTACTATGAATATGTATATGCAAAATAAATGTGGAGTCGAAATTCGTGTAAAAAGTTTTCGCCAGGGGTTAGAAAAGTTTAGAAGAAAAAAAACGAACGAACGAGAAACGATTTACATTCTTATCATTTCCTCAGGCATATTATTACAGATGAAAAAACATAATTAACATAAAAAAAAATTTTAATTAATAAAGTAATAAATTACTTCTAAAATAAATATAAAAATTGTGCTATGTTTTAATATATCGTGCGTGGGTATTTATAAATAGTTGAAGCGTTCCAAAATACCCTTCTCGAAAATTTGGACATAAAATTAAATACACATATGGTATTTTCATGCTCACATAAATTGAAACCCACATCATAACTATGTCATGTCACACCTTAAGAGAGGGTCATTCTAAAATGTTCGTTTAAAAGTTCACATAGCTTTTATAATACAAAAATTTTTAGTTTATTTTTTTCTTTATGTTAAAAAAAATATATTAGAATAAATTATATCTAAAACAGTAATTCTAATTATTGAACACCCTTTTATTGTAATAATTATACCGTATATACGAAACAATCATGAAAATAATTATTTTGTGCCCAGAGCGCGTAACACCCTTTCTCAATTATTACAGGGAAGCTATAACGTTGACTTGAACCTATTTTTTTTTTCTCATTCTTTATTTTAACCCGACTCAAAAGTCAACGAGAAGCAACCCATGGAAATGGAGCCTATTATTAGACGCGATCAGAATTTAGCACAAAGGGAGAGAGCACACTGCAGTTTGCCATCATGTTTTCGGTACTCCGTTACACTCTACCGATTTATATCGAGTACCAACAAATTTTAAGTGCTTATTGGAACAATAGCAAACAAATTAAATGTAGTCTTTTAAGACATACATTTTTAATTTAAATTAAAATATTTGTTTCTTTTCTTATATTATTTGAGAAAGTGACTATTTTTTAGGAATATCAAAGAATAATATTAAATGATCGATAATAATTAATTATTATAATATTAAATAATAATACTTATGTATTGTATAAAAATTTATTAGTTTATTTTGAACTACAATGGAATTTCATTTTGTGTTACAATAAAAAAAATGTGGTAACTTTAATACAAAATTTCAAAATATGATTCCTTTTTTTTTTTTGTTATTACACCTGGCAGCTGGTAATTTTATGCCTCAGTGCGGTTTAAACAGAAATTGTAATCGTCATTGTTTAACTTTACTCAATAATAAAAGTCAAATGTCAAAGTCAAAATGTTCGCGTAGTATAACCTTCAAATTATTTTGCATAGGAGTAGCGGAAAAAAAGTACAAAAATCGAAAAAATAAATTTCAAAATACTAAATTCGTTATAAAACTCAGTAATTTTATACTGAAAGTATAGAAAATCATTTTAGAAAAATGAATTTAACAATTTTTGCGAGAATTCACATATCGTAACCGAACTGTTTTATTAAAACATTAGCATTGTGTTAATAAGATAACTACATTCAGATTCTAATTGTTTGGGTACTTATCTCTTAGCAAAACTTGCGTACTATTTTTTTTTGGAAGTATGAAAATTCTAGACTTTCTCTAACAAGAAAGGGCCACTCCTTATTATACCTTTGTGTTGCGGTAATGTCTTTGGCACACCTTTAGAAGGAAAATAATTCTGAAATATTCCCCCTAAGGTGTAAAAACTAAATTTTATTAACAAAAATATATATATTGTTTTATAAATCCTAATTTTCTCAGTTTCCCTTGGAAACTTTTCAAAGAATAAAATTTAATAGCCTTTTTTCGCTAATTGAGTTAAATTCCTTTATATATATACTGGTCGAAAAATATATATGAGTCATTGTAAAGAGATGAGAAAAAAAAATCTCACCGTCATTACATAATATTTGGATAATTAAACATATATCATTGTATCTAATTTGTGCGTAGGGCGACTTTAGTCATCATATATATACTGTTGCTTCATTATTCTAGTCGCTCTATTAATATCCTCTACATTATAACTCAAGTGTCGCACGCGA